TCGCATTGGGTGTGAGGGTTTCAACATATGAATTTGGCAAGGGAAAAGAACGCAAATTCAGTCCATCACAGATATTAGGTTAAGTAAGAAACATTATTGGGCCGGGCATGGTGGCTCATGCCTGTAATCCCAGCACTTTGGCAGGCCGAGGCAGGTAGATCACTAGGTCAAGAGATCGAGACCATCCTGGTCAACATGGTGAAACCCCATCTCTACTAAAAATACAAAAAATTAGCTGGGCATGGTGGTGTGTGCCTGTAATACCAGCTACTCAGGAGGCTGAGGCAGGAGAATTGCCTGAATCCAGGAGTTGGGGGTTGCGGTGAGCCGAGATCATGCCATTGCACTCCAGCCTGGGTAACAAGAGAGAAACTGTCTCAAAAAAAAAAAAAAAGAAAGAAAGAAACATTATTAATTTCACCAGTCTCTTGAGTTGGTTCTTTAATTTGGCTACTAAAAAAATTTAAACTACCTACATAAATAGCTTTGTGTTTCACATTATCTATTCTTTAATTTCTAAATGTTCCAAACTGACAGAAAAAAAACTATGTATTTATCATGTACAACATTTCTTTTTTGTTTTTTTTTTGCTTTTTGAAACGTAACATTTCAAGTATACATTCATTGGTGAATCATCAAAAGCACTACTTCACAGTTATTTTTCATTTTTGTAGTGGAAACACTGAATGTCCTCTATGTATTTTTCTTTATTTTTCCTTTTTCCTTCTCTTTAAGACTAGTCAAATGCAGCAGTAAGAAGCAGGGAAAGAGTAGAACAAAAAGTTCAATACACAATTGACTCAACAACCAGTTGCGATAACTCACTACCTTCGAACTAGTCTGTATTTTTCAATATATTTCTTCATTAATTATAGTCACCATGCTGAACAATATATCTTTCTCTTTTTTCTTTGATGGGGGGTTGGTGGGGGGGGGACTGGAGTCTCACCCTGTTGCCCAGGCTGGAGTGCAGTGGCACAATCTCAGCTCACTGCAACCTCCACCTCCTGGGTTCAAGTGATTCTCCCACCTCAGCCTCCCAAGTAGCTGGGACTACAAGCAGGCACGCCATCATGCCTGGCTAATTTCTGTATTTTTAGTAGAGACAGGATTTCACCATGTTGGCCAGGCTGCTCTTGAACTCCTGACCTCAAGTGATCCATCCACCTCGGCCTCCCAAAGTGCCGGGATTACAGACATGAGCCACCATGCACCCGGTCATTTTTTGCTATTTGCATGAAGAATGCCAGTGGTATTTTAATAGAGAGTGCATTGAATCTGGCTGGGCAAAGTGGCTCATGCCTGTAATCCCAGCACTTTGGGAGGCCAAAGCAGATGGATCACCTGAGGTCAGGAGTTCAAGAACAGCCTGGTCAACATGGAGAAGCCCTAGCTCTACTAAAAATACAAAAATTAGCCAGGCATTTGGCACCCGCCTGTAGTCCCCGCTACTTGAGAGGCTGAGGCAGAAGAATTGCTTGAACCCAGGAAGCGGAGGTTGCAGTGAGCCAAGACTGCGCCACTGTGCTCCAGCCTGGTGACAGAGCAAGACTCCGTCTCAAAAAATATATATATATATTTTCAAATTCTATTTGTTGTAACATCAAACACAGATATAAAAGTCTCCAGCGTATAGGACCTCCAACCTACAATGTTAATTAAAACAGGAGGGAAATTCGCTGATGGAATCATTGGAAACTTTCAGGTGTGATTCTTTGGAGGAGAACATGGGGGCAGAAGCAAAGTCAATTATTTTTTAGGAGTTTCATTGGATTTTAAAAACCTTTTCTTTCAAAGTTGTTAACTGAAATGCCAGGAATGAGTTACATTGTTCACTGATCCCTTCCCCAAACAAAGAACTTGCTACTTGGAGGCCCCTGATCAATCACTAGAGATTGAAGCGCAAGAAAAGAAACATTGTTGACTGGAGATGCTGTTCCTAGACCTCCACAGGCTTTGCAAGTATCTTGGCAAATATAGTTAAATAAAATATAAAAACAAAGATTGTAGTTGTCTTGCTTCTTCTCACTGTCTGCGTTTCAGATGTAATGAGACGAAAATCACTAGTTTATGACAATCTTATATAGTTGAGTTTTATAAGAATGACTTAGAAATGCTTCCCAATAAAAAAGAAAGAAATCAAAGTCCAATAAAGACCCAGAAGAGAATAGAAATTACTAAAAGTTACAGGTTTTAAAAATTTAGTTTCAAGATATTTATCTGAAAAATCATAGATCAATGTAGATAAAAATTAACATTGTCCTTCCGTATTAGCATTTGGTATTAGCACTTGACAAATACTTAAATGTTGAATGTCTGATGAGAATTTACTTCCCAATTAGATTTTTTAGTTGTTTATTTTCACATTTCTTGAGGCAAGCGGTACAGAATGTAGTGGCCAAGGTCATGGCGCAGGAGTGGTTTGAAACCCTGCTTCTCTACTTACTGTGTGTCTGACCATGGGCAAATTACTGATCAAAAGTACACGTCAGACTGGCAGAACTCTTGTTCATGTTCGAAACCAAAGGTTGGTAAACTTTTTCTGTAAAGGACCAGATAGTAAATAGTTTTAACTTTTGGGCCATATGGTATGTATCATAACTGCTCAGCTCTACTTCTGAAGCACAAAAGCACCATAGATAACAAGAAAAAAATGAATTGTGGCTGCCTTCCCATCAAACGGTACATACAAAAGCTGGGATGGGTCATAGTTTGCCAACCCCTGATCTGGAATACACCTGAATGTGGTGCATAGCCTTCATTACCTTTCTTGTAAAATTGTCTCAAATTGAAGCTGGAGGTCCTTTCTTCCCCTCTGAGATTCCTTCTTCCACTCTCCCCCCCCACACATTTTCTATCTGCAGCTTTATTCTGGTGGCAACCCAAAAGGTCAAGGCTGGGCTCCATCCCGCAGCACAGCAGGATATTGGCACAGACTCAACCCTCCCAGGTTCTCAGAATGGAGCTCATACAAAGCTAAGCCTCTTGATGATACTGCCAACCTCACAGAGCTCAGTGCTTAGTATATTTTGTTTTTTGAGATAGGGCCTTGTTCTGTCATCCAGGATAGAGTGCAGTGGCACAATCTCAGCTCACTACAACCTCTAGCTCCCTGGATCAAGTGATCCATCCATCCCAGCATCTGAAGTAGCTGGGACCACAGGCACAAGTCACCAAGTCTGGCTAAATTTTGTATTTTTTGTAAAGATGGGGTTTCACCATGTTGCCCAGGCTGGTCTTGAACTGGGCTCAAGGGATCTTCCTGTCTCGGCCTCTCAAAGTGCTGGGATTACAGGCATGAACCACCATGCTTGGCCAAGTAATTAGTTTTTAATGGAAAATGAGTCTGTATCTTTTAAGATCTTTGGAAAGATATCCATTCTTCTTCCCTCACAGCAGCTAGCACAATGTCCTACACCCAGTAAGTATTTGTTGATGTTAGTGTGAGGTCATGGCAACTGTGACTTTATCCCTTTGTACATTAGTTTGGTGAAGACCTGGCTTTCTAGTTCCAGAAGCAGAACTGAAGCAAATTCCTTTTCTTTTCGGGAAACAGACCTTTCGCAAAGAGACACGGATTCTCAAAGGAAAACAAACCTGTCTTCCTGAGACTCATAGGGGAGTGATTGGGGAGGTGCTGGAATCCTCGGGGGAAATTATGGGTTATGGTTTCTTTCTGTTCTAGATAAGGGTTGGGCACAGGCAGATCCTGAGAAAAGTGGAGTCCTTTATTGCCCAGTGGGAGATGGCATTTCCAGGAGCAGTCCTGGTTGGTGCAATGGTGGCTGGTTGTCCTGTTTCTTTAGGCTCTTATAGGGAGATAGCCAGGGTGGCTCCCTAAAGAAAACAGCTGGGTGGAATCCTTATCCTTATCAACATGGCTAGATCACAGGGGCTGGTGGCCTTATCCTATCAGGGCAACCAGTGATTTCACCATGTCACCAACTACTCCTTTAGAAACCAACCGCATTGTTACATTTCAAGCATAACACTAGTGCCCAAATCCATTCTGCCATATTATAACTCAACTGCATCAGCAAGTTTATTGCTAAAAACCTAGAGTCTCAAATACTTTATGAGACAGCCTGAGGATGTAAGAAAGTAAGTCTAATTTCACCATAGCATTTACTTGGCTGTGTGTACGTGCACACGCCACGTCCCGGGAACGAGGAAATTTCCCTCAAAAAGCTCTAATCAATTCACTTTAGTAATTTCTTGTTTGTTTCACTCTGATACTGAGTTTTCTTCTCATTCAAACATTCATTTATTCATTGAAATATTAGAAATATTAGTCAAGTGTCCTCTATGTATCTATCCATTGTCCTAGGTACTGTGGATACCACTGTAAATAAAACATGTAAAACACTTGCCTTCGTGAAGTTTATATGCAAGAGTCTGACAAAGAAATATGCAAGTGAAATATGCAAATGTCAGATGTTGCTAAGTGCAATGGAGATCAATGAAGTAGGGAGGGTGGTGAGAGAGCTGCAGAGATGTAGACTGGTTGGGGGGTTGCTGTGAGCAGCGGGACTCAATCCCTCCCAACCTGGCCCCTGTCACTCATTCAGACTAGTGCATCCCTCCAGAGAGCCACCCTCGATCATCCTGGGCCTTCACAGAGGCTACCCTCCTGCCCTTGTCCCTACTCACTTAGGCGACCCCTCCTCACACCGCAGGGCTCAGCACACTGGCCTCCAGAGAGCCCCACTTCTTCCCTCACCAGCGCTGACCTGAGGCCCAGGTCACTGTTCTCTGGCCCCACTTCACCTGGTGCTTCTCACGCTGAAGGAGCTTCATGGCTGGGGGGCCTTCCTGAAGAGGCTATGGGCTCATGGAGTGTAGGGTATGTCTGTTTCCTCTGTGTCCATTACATAATCTCAACCACATGAGGAAGGAAAAACCCTACAAGGAAAGGAAAATATTCTCTCCCTTCTCAATGGTTGACATCAACCATTGAGAGATGAAAGAAAAGGAATTAAATATGTTGCATGTAGATATTAGGAGATCTTCAAAATCCAAAAGCTATTTCAGATTTTGAAATTACAAATGATTGAAAACCACCATGGCACGTTAAACCTATGTAACAAACCTGCACAATCTACACATGTACCCCAGAACTTAAGAGTACAATAAATATAGAAAAAGAAACTACAAATGAAAATGCTGTTGAAGCGTTGTACCAGTTTAAATAGCTGGGAAACAAAATATCAATCTCTATAATCCATCTAGACAAAAGCACTTACTTTTTAAAAGAGGAAGATGTTTTGGGGACCAAAAGAGAGAAAACCTCTGTGAAAGATCCCCAGCCATGATTGGCCCTGCTTTGCTCTGAGCTCATGAAAAGCCTTTGTGATGTCATAACAGACAGGCCTATATAAGGCCCTGGCTGGGTCATGGTTTTTGGTCTGAGAAATCCCTGGAAGCTTTTTTGGTGACCTGTGGACTCAGACCAGCTTAGCGATTACGAGTTGTTTGGCGGGGTGGGGGGAGTTTTTGTGGGAGGGGCGTTGTTGTGTTTTTTAGTTAGTATAGTTAATATAGTTGGTACTGTTTCTTAGCATTTTAGTGTTCTTTGGGATAGTTAGTATTGTTAATATTTTAGCGTAGTCCATAGAGTTAGAGTAGTTATTTGTATATAGTTAGTGTAGACAAAGTAGGCACCATGAGGCAGGGCTTGGCCTCCACCTCACCTGCCCTGCGGCCACCTTATTATCAAATACTAAACTTTATAGGCCGTGGTGCCTTTGGGGAGGTCACGCTGGCCCGCCACTTAATGACTGGCATCCGGGTGGCGGTGAAAACAATCAACAGAACCAGCTTCCTCTCTAGCCACAGAGAGATGACTGTTTTACAGTCGGTCCGCCACGGCAACATCATTAACCTTTACCAAATGATTAACAGCAGAGAGGCGTGCCATTTCGTTATGGAGTATGCCGCAGGAGGAAGCCTGGCCAACTGGCTTGACCACCACATAGTGGAGGAGGAGGAGGCCCGAGGCAAGTTCCAACAAATGCTGTCCGCCGTGAGCTACCTCCACCGCCGAAGCATCGCTCACCGAGATCTTAAACCTGACAACATGCTGTTAGATGGCAAAGGGAACATAAAAATTACAGATTTTGGATCAGCCATAACTTTTTATGAGGGGCAGAGGCTGAGAGCAGGTCATGGGACCCTCCCCTACATGGCCCCAGAACTCTTTGGGGCCCAGGGCTATGAATGTCCCGCCATGGACATATGGAGCCTAGGCGTCACGTTATACCAGATGGTGTCCAACAGTCTGCCCTTCTTCGCAGTGAGTCGTTTCCAACTGATATCCCTCATTCTATCTGGCCAGTATGTTATTCGGCACTATTTCTCAGAAGGCCTAAAAAGCCTAATTAAAAACCTTTTAATATCTAATCCCAATGAGCGGCCGACAGCAGACAAAGTCTTGAGGGACCCGTGGGTGAACAACGGCCAGGACTTGCCTCCAGCGACGTATGAAGAGCCGATTGAAGACCACCCGAACTGTGAGACCATAAGGCTCTTGGTGGCCATGGGATTGAAGCCAGAAAACATCGTAAAGGCAATTGAAGACCATGTCTTTAATTATCCCATGGCCACCTACCGTATTGTAGATGGAGAAAAAAAGCCATCCATTACCACTCCACAGTCTCTTGCTCCTGGGGATCCTACATGTTTAGTCACTGAGATTTCCAGTTCACCTGCCGGCCTTCACAGGAAGTCAGACCCCCAGCATGCCCCCACGGCCTCCCTGACCATCGAGCGCAATTGTGGAGATGTAGAAAACTTGGCACGGCAAACCCTCCAGTGTGACCGTGTGGCCTCCTCCACTGTAAGCGCCATAGGCGGTGGTGGTGCTTTAGAAACCTTGGCAGAGCAAGTCCCCCAGCGTGACCTCGTGTCTGCAGCCTCCAGCAAGTGCTCCACCGGCAGTGAAAATTTAGAAACTTTGGCTCAACCAGCCCTCCCGCATAACATGGCCGCCTCCACTCAGATCACCACCCAGAGCACCGTGGCTCAACAACCAGGACACGAAGGCAGCATCCTCCAAGCTGGGCAGCCCGAGGCTGTGTTGGCCCGGCCAAGAAGAGGCTGGAGCTGCCGCAGGGCTGCCCGAAGGTGCATTGCCATAATAAGGAGATTCTGTTGCTGCCTCTGTCCACCCAAGAGGCAGAGTAAGAGGGCCCACCCAAGAGAAAAAGTAAGTAGGTGGGCGGTGAAGCCGCACTTCTTGCATTTTACTATATTTATTCTGTCTTTATTAGTATTGTTTTAATTGGCAAATCTCTGGGGCCGGAGAGTGGCAGAGGGAGGGAATGGGGGGTATTGGTCAAAGGACCAAAGTCTAGACAGGAGGAAGAGGTTTTGACTCTAGTGCACAGCAGGGTGACCAGAGTCAATAAGAATGTATTGCATTTTGCAAAACATGTTCATGTCAAATGTCTCTGCATTTAGATTGGAGAGGACGAAGGCCCGAAACCTGAGATGCCCAGGAGCAACGTTGGAGCCTGCAGCACTTTATATAAAAAAATATAAAAATAAATGTATCATTCTGATAAATGACCATTTCTTGCTTCTTGCAAATTTTGTAGTAGCATTGGAAAGGTGGCACGTGGGTTGCAGACACTCTGCTGCTTTGTGCCCTCCCTGCACAGGACCGGGGCTAAGAGAAGGGCAAGGCATGAGGCAAAGGAAAAGCAGATGTACTAGCACCTGCCTTAGTTGAAAGAAAAGCGGGGATAATGAAAGGATGGAGGAGGATGTGGAAGAGAGCAAGAAAAAGATAGAGCTAAACCAGAGTCTAAACCTGGCCCAGAGTGGAGACGGTCTATAAAGATCATGCAGTTTACCCCCGTGCAATACCTAGTGGTGGCATATGATCCAAACTGGTGGGTCACTGTCTTACACTACTACTATTGTGGCTATAGGAGTATCAGGTAAAAATGAACAAAAACAAACCCTTTTGCCAATCAAAATATGTCACTGGAAGGCAAGAGGTGTGGCACAAGTTCTTATATCTTCCCAGCTGCCCTGTTCCTTTGTTGGGGAGAAATCTGCTCCAAAAACTACAAGTAAAAATTTCTTTTAAGCCTAAAGATAACAAGACTTTAGGTTTTAAGTAACCAAAGACTATGGTATTAGCCTTCACAGTGGCAATTATTTGCTAGGGATATTTCTTACACCAGAAATCATCCCTCGCTTCGGTCTACCTGCCACCATCCAGTTGGACAATGGTCCAGCATTTACTGCCCAAGTAGTCCAGCTGGTTGCTGAGTCCCTCAACATCTAGATACTACACATCCCTTACCATCCTCAGTCATCGGGTAAAGTTGAACAGGCCAATGGCATCCTCAAAGACCATTTGGCCAAACTTGCTATTGAGGTAAAACTCTCTTGGCCCATACTCCTACCCCTTGCCCTGGCCTATATCCGGACCATCCCATGGGGGCTAACGGGCCTGAGCCCCTTTGAATTGCTGTACGGCCGGCCTTTCCTGGTTTCCTATAATCTCCCTGCGCGACCACCACCACTGGCCTCCTACCTTTTGTTTCTCTCTCTCCTCTGCCAAGCACTCAGGGAGCATGCCAATTGCACTCTCCCTGTCATTCCAGGACCAGAGGACCTCCACCCGGCAGCACCTCTCCAGCTGGGTGACAGCGTTCTCCTCCAAGAGCTCAAACCAGGATCCTTGCAACCCAGGAATCCTGGACTGAGGGCCCCACCACCAGGACTCATAATCTTGCACAGGCAAACTGCCAAACAGGCAGCTGTCAGTCTACTGTCTCCATCCTCATCCCACATGGTAAAAGCGCCATACTCGGTCGCAATCATGGGTTTCACTTTCAGCATGGGCTGTGTTTTCTATATGACCAAACCAAGGACTACTGTCATTGGTGGAACACACCACCTATGGGGGGTGCCCATACAGCTCTTGTGTTATTCACAAGCCACAGCCTCCAAGCTGTCCCAACCACATGCTCGCTTACTTCAGCAATGGTTCCTTAGCCCTCAACATCTGTGACCCCGGCACAGCTGTTAGGATACAGGAGTGTCTGGTAAAGTCTGTGAAGATTATACCTGGAGCCACCCTCAGGGAACATGGCTAATATTTCGGTCCTATACCTGCATTGTCTCTGAAGCAATAGAACAGCTCAGTTCTGTAAGCCATACAATCCTGTAAAATGAAGCCATCCTAACTAACCAATTCAAACCCTCAGATGACACCTCTCAGTCTTTCTCTTGGTTGACTCTAGTACAGCAGGGAGCCAACATGTTAAATTTAACTAAAGATATGAATATCACCAACTGCTTTATATGTGCCTCTCTCAGCAACCCCCCCTTTAGCTGCAGTTCCCCTCAGGTCCGGGTTCAATCTGTCACAATCACCTATGGGACCCGGCACCATCTTAACAGATATCCCCTTGTTCCAAGTACACCCTCAAAATCTCTCTCTCTGCCATGAGACAGCCAGCAGCTCCAGTCCCAGCTATAACACCACAGTAAAGGTAAAATCCTCCCTCTACGCACCACCAAGAGGATATTTCTGGTGTAATGGAACCTTACCTAAAATTATTAATGCCTCCTTCCCTTTCCCTTGCGTGCCTGTCACCTTGGTCCTGCAGTTAGAGGTATATGGACAGGCCGAACTTCTATCCCTCCTTCCACCCTCCCCTAATCACCAAGACAGATGAGCAGTCTTCCTCCCAAAGGTCGTTGGTCTCTCTCTAGCATCCTCTCTGGTGGCAGCCGAGCTGGGTAACAGCGCCCTAGGCTACAGTGTCACCTCAGCCACTCAACTAGAGGACAAGCTTTGTGTGGCTATCGAAGCGTCAGCTGCCTCCCTGGCCTCCCTCCAGCAACTCAAAAACGTAACTACTAGTAGCCTACTGTTGACTGGAAGCCTTACTGATGACATAAACAGTCAATTGACAAGTACTTGTATGTTACATGCGTTGTATACTGTATTCTTACAACAAAGTAAGCCAGAGAAGAGAAAATGTTATTAAGAAAATCATAAGGAAGAGAAGATACATTTACAGTACTATGCTGTATTTATCAGTAATACAAGTTTGTTGTGGTCTGTTTACAAGATGAATCATCTGTTGAAAGGGCGATGACTGCAGTTCAGACCTCAGTCTATGGTACAGATCAAGCAATTCAACTTTTTCTTGTAATGACATGACTTCCCTCTGCTTTTTGGGAGCACATCCAGCATCACTAGTGATATTTCCTATGCATTCCATTGGGTTAGGAAGGGTTTACGGTATTGCACCAAACATGATGAAAATACACAAGAACTTCAAGAGATCACCTTTTAGTGTGATAGAAAATTGACCAGGGAGAGAAACTGCTCACGGGGAAATGATTAGCATCACACTTCATATTTTATTATTACTATTATTTTTAGATGAAGTCTCGCTCTGTCACCCAGGCTAGAGTGCAGTGGCTTTATCTCCATCACTGCAACCTCTGCCTCCTGGGTTTAAGCTATGCCTCCCAAGTAGCTGGGATTACAGGTATGCACCAGGATGCCCAGGTAATTTTTGTATTTTTAGAGGAGATGAGGTTTCGCCATTTTGGCCACGCTGCTTTCGAACTCCTGGCCTCAAGTGATACACAAACCTTGGTCTCCCAAAATGCTGCATGCAGCATTTTAAGAGAATACTTGCAACACTTAAGCTCACGGCGATAGCAACAGGAAATGGCTATGAAATTATTGCAGTAGTATGGCATTACTACAGTTAATTTTATGCAGTTATAATTCAATACTGCATTTTTACATTTGTTTATATATTTCTCTCGACTACAAATGGCATCATATACAGCCTATAAGTGTATGCACAAGTTTTGATGAATTTTAACTTTTTATAATAAATTTGTGTATATTTTATAGTGGTAAATTATAAAACAGACTAGTATCTACATATATTTTCTGAATTCATGACATACATTACAATTTCTTAATGTTTCCAATATTTCTAGGCTGTGTTCATTGAGTTTTTTCAAATAATTGCAAATCTCAAAAAACATTTCCAATATATTTCCTGGAAAAAATCTGCAAATAAACGGATCCACAAAGTTCAAACACATGCTCAGGAGCACTGTACCTATTTTACATCCTGATCAGGATGCCTTATTTAAAACATACTTACTTTATGTTAAAACGCACGCTCTGAATGAAAAGACCACCCAAATAGGCTTTGTGTGAGCAACATGGCTGTTTATTCACCCGGGGGCGGGCAGGCTGAGTCAGTGGAGGGCAGTGGGATAGAAGCTAGTTTTATATGTTTGCAGTAGGCAGTGGAAAGTTACAGAAGTTACAGTTTAGAGTGGTCTTTTGCAAGCTGGGAGGGGGTCGTAGGGTCTGGAGTCACAAAGTTGACCAAAGTTGGTTACAAAGTTGACCAAGATTGGTTACAAAGTCCAATGACCTTGTCAATTAAGGCCGGAAAAAGAAACAATAGAAGAATGTCTCAGGTTAGTTAGGCACCAAAAGGGTTGATTGCCTTCCACTTTTCATGGTCTCCAAATTCCTTCACACGTTTTCTAATTCCAGAAGGTCCTCCAGAGGTGTACGTGTGCACCATGGTTCCATGAGTCAGCCTAAAAGAACTTACACTTTATTTTTTAATTATGAAAGAAGTATTTGCCATAAGTTGATTTCATTTGTTCAGGCAATAATGTGTTATAAAATTATTCTTGCCCCTAGAAAGAATTTAGGAGCCATCTCCTATCAATTACATAAAAACCCAGGAAAAGAACATGAGTAAATTCCCCCACACTGCTATTATTAACACCACTCATTGATCCAAGAAGGATTATCTGAGGTAACATGTCTCCCTCCTGCCTCAAGCTTCTGAGCTATATCCTGCCACCAAGAGCATATGTCACGTTAAGAAATGCCAACAGATTTAAACAGATTTACCAAGACCTAATTAAGAAGTTCACATTTATACTGACCAGTACTGTGCCCGATTTATGACCAGCCAACACGTGAGTGGTTATCATATGGCAGAAGCTGTTAAACCACCTAAAAGTACTTTAGACCCGGCATGCCCACACTTCCTATGAGATAGGTATCAACGTCCCCACTTTACAGAAAGTGAAGCAGACACACTAGAGATTAATTTGTCTAGAACTACAGAGCTAGTAGGTGGGATCTGAATCCCCTGGCAGTCTGTATCCTAAAAGAAAACTTTTACCTCCATTATTCTGATAAGAGGCAGAAAACACCCAAATGCCTAGGCAAACAGGAAAGTGTCCATGGAGAACCTCCAACCTGCCCAAGTCATTGTGCACAGGGGATTTGCCTAAACATGCCCATGGTGAAAAATTCCGTCCCTTAACACATGCACAGTAAGGGAAATAAATCAATGTGGAGTGGCTCAGACTAAGGGCCCACATGCACACTGGAAGAATGGGGTGGAACCACCAGGAATTCATGCCTTATGCAGGGGAGGAGCCTGGCCTTTTCAACTTGTGTGTACTGGCCCGGTATTCAATTTGTGAGGTAGAAACCTGCATTCAGGATCCCTCTTTTTCTTGAGAGCTTTCCTTTCACTTAATAAATTCCCTCCTCCTCACCCTTCAATGTGTCCGCATGCCTAATTTTTCCTGGTCATAAGACAAGAACCTAGAGATTTAGCTGAACTAAGGAGCAAGAAATCCTGCATCAATTTTAATAAATTGTGGCCGGCGCAGTGGCTCACACCTGTAATCCCAGCACTTTGGGAGGCTGAGGCCGGTGGATCGCGAGGTCAAGAGATCAAGATCATCCTGGTCAACACGGTGAAACCCCGTTTCTACTAAAAATACAAACTATTAGCTGGGCACGGTGGCGCGTGCCTGTAGTCCCAGCTACTCAGGAGGCTGAGGGAAGAGAATTGCCTGAACCCAGGAGGCGGAGGTTGCAGTGAGCCGAGATCACGCCATTGCACTCCAGCCTGGGTAACAAGAGCGAAACTCCGTCTCAAAAAATAATAATGATAATAAATAAATAAACTGCATAACTGATAAAGACAGGAAGAGAGATTCACACTTAACCTGAAAGAAATCCCAGAAAGCTGAAATAAGCACCCTTTAGTGATGCTCAAATCAAAGTACTAAAAACTAGAACTGCTCACCAGTATCTAAAGATTTCAACATCAATTTGATTTAATTTAAACACCGAGCACCTACCAATATGTGAACTCTGAATTAGTCACAGGGGCTACAAAGACTAATAACAACATGCTCCCTTCTTTGATAAAGTCACAAAGACAGTGGGTGGGTTTGTCTGGTAGGGGAAGGGGTTGGATCAAGAGAGAGAAAAAAAGAACATGTGATAAGACAGGCATGTGATAAGAAAAAGACAATAGCATTCTCTGAATTTCTCCTCTATTTTTCTTTCTTATTACTTAAAAGTGGCAAAACATTTTCTTCCCTTCCTCAAATAAGACACATTCAGAGTGTTTGTCCCCAGGCAGACAAACTTTGTTCTTTTCAGAACAGATTAAGAACTACAGGAAGCACCACCAGCCTGATACTAGGGAGCTGTCCTGACAAGTACCCCAGGAACCAATAACCCTGAGGCCACAGCGATCGCCTCGGTGCTCTTCTCCCTTGAAAATCAGAATTAAAGCATAATTTACCTCAAAGTCTAAACTTACAGAGGAAATGGCGCTTAAAAGCAACGTATTATCTTCTTCCTGTTTGGGAACATCCCCCTTTCTCAGTCCTTCAGAAGGGCCCAAAGAAGTAGTTTGGCTAAAGTTGTTCCCATAGAACCAGTTTCCAAAAACAGGAGAAATTACTGAAGAATATGGCTTAGGCAACCTACATGGGAATTTTCCAGTTGAACCTCCCGGTTTCCAGCAAGCAGAGTGAATGAGAAACCAGGAAATGGGGTTTTGTTTTCAACCACTTGAGCACAAGGTTTATGTTACCTTCTAGTGGGTCTTCATCTTGGTTTTCAGCTAGAGCTGTGGTTTCCTGCAATAAAAAAGGATCTCATGAGAAAATAATTTTACTTAAAGGTTAAATATCAATACATACTTTATTGGGAAAAACTCTAGCTTCTAAAAATACTATCTAAAATAAAAATAATATTGAAAATTAATCCCTTAAAATCAGATTCTGAATTTGATGGAAAGAATCTTTAGGTGACATGGTACAATTATGAAAGAGGTAAACTGAGTCACAGAAGAATTATTACAAAAGAGCAGCAAGCCTAACAGGGGCCTCTGGCCTTTGGATTTTCTGGGACCTAACTAGCATCCTAGAGCCTGAGCTAGGAACCAGACACCAGGGTCCCTGGTATCAGGCTCCTTATTTCCTGTACTCATGCCTGACTCTACCTGGAGTTCTGCTCCTCCTTCCAGAATACAATCTATAAAGTCTCCATAAGCACATTTTCCTCATGGCCCTCTAATCATATCCCCAAAACCCATGGCTCAGCTAAGAACCAGGATATTAGGTGCTCAAGAAAATGAGAGGCTACAGCAAAGCAAACCAATCATATTCTTACATAATGAGAAAAGTGAACTGCAGAGGCACTCGCAAAGTAAATCTTGGTTGGTTAACCCAGACTCTGTTGGATCTACTGGGGCAGCATACATTTTTACGATTCCGCTATAGACTTGCTGGGAACCTGTCTTTTTAAGTATGGCTAGCTATTCCAAGGAATCACTCTATCAAGGAAGGGCTGATCTAGCTCCTGGCACTTAATTAAGCTTCCCTTGCTAATAAGAATGAGAAGGTACTGAGAGTCAAAGATCCACTATCTTTCCTTTTCCGTCTATCTGAAAGTATGTCTCCCCTTCACTCTGAAATATGTACAGGTTTGGAAAATAGGTTACCACAAATTTCAAAAGACAATCTGTGTCATTTTTGTATTTAGATATGGCTAAATGGTGGCATGCAGCCCATAGTCTCAGCTACTTGGAAGGCTGGGGCAGGAGACCCAGGAGATAAGGCTGCAGTGAGTTATGATAGTACCACTGCATTCCAGCCTGGGCAAAAGAGCAAGACATCATCTCTAAAAACTAATTCTATAAAAGGGAAAGAAAGAAATGGCTAAGACACCCAGAATCCATGCCTCCACAAGTCCTTTCCAATAATACAAGACTAAGTAACCTCACATTTTCCTCCTTTCAATGTGCATTCTGGCAAATGTGGATGCTAAATAACCAGGGTGAGGGAAGCAGCAACTATTTGGAGACAGATAGTATCCAAATCTTTCTAGTCTGAGGGTCACTGGCACTGTGTATGCAGCTGACTGCCTTTAAAAAGAAGCACGTTTATAGGCTGGGCGAGGTGGCTCAAGCCTGTAATCCCAGCACTTTGGGAGGCTGAGGCAGGTGGATCACTAGGTCAAGAGATCGAGACCATCCTGGTCAACATGGTGAAACCCCATCTCTACTAAAAATATAAAAAATTAGCTGGGCACGGTGGTGCGTGCCTGTAATCCCAGCTACTCAGGAGGCTGAGGCAGGAGAATTGCCTGAACCCAGGACACGGAGGTTGCGGTGAGCTGAGATCACGCCATTGCACTTCAGCCTAGGTAACAAGAGCGAAACTCCATCTCAAAAAGAAGAAGAAGAAGAAGAAAAGCACGTTTATAAGTCTTTCCTCAGCTAGAGATAGTCTGGGAAAGTGTGCTGATGGGCCACAAAGACCTGAGAATCATGTTGGAGACACCCACCTCCACAATGCCAAAATGTAAAGAAGAGGGCTGCAGAGGGGTAACCCATTAACTTGGGGAGATAAAGGTTATGGACACAGGCACAGCACATTGGGGGAAGCAGGGAATAAAGCTAGGACATCTCAGCAATACACGCTTTATTAGAGAACAAAATGGGGATGGGTGAGTGAAAGAGCGCTACCACAGAGCCTTCCCATCTTTAGTTTTGCTCAGCAGCTTCCCAACAGGGATCACCCAGCAGGATGGCAGGCAGAAGGCACAGTGGGGTCACCACAACCACAAAATATATTTATATAATTCTTGTACAAAAAAATGCATGTTACAGTAATAATTTGGCTGGAGGGCGAGATAAAAATCTCAGGATGTGCCCACAAAAATGGACAGAGGAATGGAGAGAAGGGGTAGCCAGGTGAGAAAAAAAGGCTGTTCATTTCTCAATTTTCTCATGAGTGATGAAAAATCAACAAATACTTTCACTTCTGAAGTTGGTAATATACTCATTCTTATACTTCTCCATTTAAAGATAGAAGGGTAACCACCAAAAACAGACCATCTCCCAAAAAAGAACAAAAAGGGAAGAGGCGAAAGAAAAAAAAAAAGAGTGACAAAACCTCAGGCAATGTGGTGAAATATATTTTTTTAAGCCCTTCAATATCAAACATCTGTTAAAAGGGAAAAACCTGTATTGGGCCAAAAGGGGGGAGAAAATGACAAGAAATCTAAAACAGACCTGAGAAAAATTGAAAATGAAACTTTGGGTGGTAAAATATCATAATATAAAGCAAATGTAAGTTTTAAAAGTCAAGGGTCTAGATGTGAAATTCAACTTTGGTTTTAAGGCAAAGATCATCACGCAAACGGTGTCACTATGCATATTAGGAGAAAAGCTAGGGTGGGGGACGTCCGTAACATTTAGAGCAAAAATTGTTAATTTCTCTAACCTGTGAATATCTTATGCAGTCAAGCAAGAGAAACACAGCTCAACAGAAAAACTAGAAAGATTGTATCAAAGTCACAGAACACAGATACCAATAAACACTTCAAGAGATATTTGCCCTCGGTAATAGATAAATGCCTCCCTGGCCTATCAGATTGCCCGATCATATACAGAGAGGAATGTAGAGTAGCAAGAACACCCACCACAATAATGAAAAGTACAAATTCTTGCAGACTTTAAGTAATTTGCTATTTAAACATTTTTATGTTACATCCTTTAATCCAGCCCTTCCACATCCAGAAATAAATTCTTGGGAAAAAATCAACACTCAGAAAAATGCTTGAAGATAAGTAAGTTTGTTAAAGTCTGGAAAATATTCAAAATGTCAGATAAGGGATGAGCTAAAAATCACAATGTATCTAAATGAGCTCACTCTGTTGCTCACGCTTGAGTACAATGGCACAATCATGGCTCACTGAAGCCTCAAACTCTTGGGCTCAAGTGATCATCCCGCCTCAGTCTCCCAAGTAGCTGGGACTATATGTGTGAGCCATTTTGCCCAGACCATAAATGGGCAACTTTTAAAGAAAGGTCTCCTTATGCAGAAGCAAGCAAAGAGCAAAACGGTATGTACTACATAGTTCACTCTTGCCTAAATCATCTCCTAACCACCAAAACAGAAAGACAAACCATGCTGATTTAGCAAGAGTACAGGGGAAAGATCTAGAAGACATCCACTCCAACAGTACTTTCTTCTAAGTGGAAAGGGAGTAGGGAAGGAGGAGGGGTGTGGGGGGAGCTTTTCCCTGACTTCAATACATCTTTGTGTGATTTGAGAAATATGTCACTTTAGTAATTCAAAGTATTACATCTTTTTAAAGTGTTTTTATATCTAATTGCTATAAAACAAACCCCAAAACTACTTTTTGTCCTATATTAAGTGTTAAAGAGTAAAATTTATTGAATTATGACAATTTAAAATTTAGTAGCAGGAATTTAGACAAAGACTTCATCAGCCTTTTGTTTCTGGAAGAGAATGAGAAATTATCTGCAAGTGAAAACTTACGGGTTATACATGTCCAAACTCAGCGAATCATAAAAATTAAACATGTACAGGAGACTTTCTGGGTATCAAGTGTACACCTCAGTAAAGCTGAACAAACGTTTGTCTGAGGCTATCATCAGCTTTACTCTCTAGTTTTAAAACAGGCAGCAAAAGCTGTGGCTGTGGGAATTTGGATGAGAGGATAATAATGTGTGAAGATAGGAAAGTGACGTTTACTATTATCGGGCCCATGAATGACACAAGATTCATTCCAGCAAGGGATACCTTAGGCATAACCAAAGTTCCAGCTGTGTGTTGAGGGGTCTCACGTGCAGAAAAACAGTTCTGTCCATTTCCATCCACTGCACAGCTGTAGCTGTAGCCAGAAAGAAGGTAAGAGCTGGGCTGCTGCATGTACCAGTTGCCACAGTGGTAACCCTGGATGGGCTGGAACTCCTGCTTCACTCTAATAGCAGAGGGGAGAGCACAGCAATGACAACCATCACCAACCAACATAGAATCATCCACAAACCCCCCAACTTCTTTCCAGGAAGTTTGCAGTAAGTTGAACACCTATGTTCAAAGCCATTGTTTGTAAGTTACCAACAGTTATGTAGCAAATAGAACAGTAACAGCTTTCTTTTTCCTTCAAAGGAGAAAACTGCTCACCTTTGCCAGTAGCTGGAATAGTTACTGTGTTGAGCTATGCCAAAACCTGCAAAACTCTCCTGTTCTGCCATTTATCCAGAAACCTTACAAAAAGAGAGCAGAATCCGGTTTTTATTCCTGCATCAAAAATTCTGGCCTGTGGGCTAAAACCTCTCAACCCTGACAGGTAAGTCTCGCAACTACCTGAGATAATTACATTTAGTGGCAATTCCTGCTAGGCAATTAATTGCTTGACTTTCCTGACAACAGGGCAAAGGTGTGTGTGTGTGTGTGGGGGGGGGTGCACTAAGGCACCTGGGAAAAATTCTGCCACCTGTTCCTCTGGCTTCCACCTTCCGGCCCTCTCTCCCAACTGTCAGGCCTGGGGGAGCCAGCAGAACCCCAAGGAGGGACAGAAGGGGAAGATGTGTCCGTCGACAATGAAAGAGTCTCCACTGCATCCCTTATCATAACAAGAGAAATCTTTAATAACAAAACCTTAAGACAAATACATTTCTCTCCTCAGTTATCATTCTGAGAATAACTATTGGAACTAGCCAGTGCTTTTTTGTTTTTTTTAATCCCATGCAGGGATTAAAAGCATAATTATTGAAAGCATAATCCAAACTAGCTGCAAAATTAAGGGGCAGCGAAGAAGGCCTTCCTTTGCTCCCTTCCCTCTTGTTTCTCTTCCTTTTCTCTCTCTTACACCCTACATTAATGAGAGTACAGGATACAATTTTAAAGAAATATTTCTCTTGTTCAGTATTTTTCAAAAACTCATGATAAAGCTTCCCAAAATTTAACGTGCATACAAATGACCTAGACTTGTTTAAAATGTAGGTTCTTTAGGCTGGCACAGTGGCTCACATTAGTAATCCCAACACTTTGGGAAGCTGAGGCGGACAGATCACGAAGTGAGATCGAGACTATCCTGGCTAACATGGTGAAACCCCATCTCCACTAAAAAATAAAATAAAATAAAATAAAAAAATTAGCCAGGCGTGGTGGCCCACACTTGTAGTCTCAACTACTCAGGAGGCCGAGGCAGGAGAACAGCTTGAAACCAGGACGCGGAGGTTGCAGTGAGCTGAGATCACGCCACTGCACTCCAGCCTGGCAACAAGGTGAGACTCCATATTAAAAAAAAAAAAAGATTCTTTAACTTGACAGATCTGGAGTGGAGCCTCAAATTCTGCCTTTATAGCTGGCTCCTGCCACTTTAAGCAGCAAGGATACACAGTGTCAAAATTCAAGATAACTTTTGAGTCCATATGGGGTGCTTAGGGTGTGGCCATTTCCCTGCTGCTGGCTAATAACTAAGTGCTAATGTATTTTCTGTTTACCTGTATTGTGAAAAATAGCAGACTTGATGAATTCAAAACATTCTGATCATTCAATCATTCACCAGTTATTTATTGAGCCATTACGACAGTCATCCCTTAGTATCCAGGGGAGATTGTTTACAGGATCCCCCTCAGATACCAAAATCCTTTGATGCCCAATATAAAATGGTGTAGTATTTGCAAAGAAGCTACACACATCCTCCCATAAACCTTAAATTCTGTCTAGATTACTTACAATACTTAATACAATGGCTATACATTACTTCATGTGGGTTCAACAGTAGTATCCGGCATGCGGCAAATTCAAGTTTTACTTTTTGGAGTTTTTGTTTTTAAGATGGCGGCTCCCTCTGTCACCCAGGCTGGAGCACAGTGCTGTGATCTTGGCTCACTGCAACCTCTGCCTCCCAGGTTCAAGTGATTATCCTGCCTCAGCCTCCCCAGTAGCTGGAATTACAGTCACCTACCACTACACCTGGCTGATTTCTGTATTTTTAGTAGACATGGGATTTCACCATGTTGCCCAGGCTGCAGTGCAGTGGCGTGATCTCATCTCACTGCAACCTCTGCCCTCCAAGTACAAATGATCTCCTGCCTCGGCCTCCCTAGTAACTGGGATTACAGGCAACTGCCACCCCTGGCTTTTTAGTTGAGACGGGGTTTCACCATGTTGACCAGGCTGGTCTCAAACTTCTGACCTGAGGTGACATGATCGCCTTGGCCTCCCAAAGTGCTGGGATAACAGATGTGAGCCACCTTGCCCAGCCTCCCAAATATTTTCAATCCATGATTGGTTGAATCCAGTGATGTAGAACCCACAGACGCTGAGAGCTGATGGCATACACAAGGCAAGGCAACTGGCATTGATATAGTGGAGTTTATCCGGAGTGAATCTCCCCATGTCTTCAAGGGAGATTTTATTGATTAGCATCTATGGCAGACATTGTTGGGTGCCACCCAATATTGATTTATTTTCTTCCATTATAACAATTCTGATTTCACATGGGCCAGCAATAGGCTCAAGCTAAAAGACTACATTTCCTGGATTCTCCCTTGAAGCAAGACGTGGCCAAGTGGCCAATATGGCTAAGAAGATCTAAATAGAAGTATTAGAATGGGATTGGGGAAAGCTGTGTGGGAAAAGGGTATTTGCTAACTTGGAAGGGGGCCTTTTTATCGTCTACTCTCTCCCCAGGTCTGGTGCTGGGATTACAAATGACAGGGGGAGTCAGAATAACTGCAGCTATCTTGGCTATGAGGTGACATGAGGGAAGAAGTCATACAGAGTAACATGGTGATCCAAGACAGAATGAGTCTGGGTCACTGATGACTAAGGACTCTTTCCACTAGCACTAGACTGGCCTACTACTGGTTTATTTTACTTAATAAATGTCTTGTTTAAACCACTGTTATGTCAGGTTAAATACAATTCCTAACGACTATACCTTAGACAACCAATAAAAATGTTAAAAATTCTTTTTCTATAAAATCTTTTTTTTTACTTATCTCATTTTAGAACTGACTTTATTTCACACAAAGAAAATCACAATTATGGCTATGACCAGGTGAGTGTTGAGGCTGCAGTTGGAAAGGAATATAGAAGTTGAACACTGAGGAGGTGGTAAGGAGACCAAGGAAGAGAGAGGTCAATGTAATCATGCTGAAACCAGCTAGGAAAATGGCAGCAGCTGTGGTGAGGAAGGAGACTCGGGCATCTAGGATCACCTCCCCCTTGATCTCCACACTGCATTTCAATAGAAGAAAAGGCTGGCTGGTGCCTCCTAAATCACCTTCCTATAGGATAGCAGGCATAGTAAGGGGGAATCTCTCCAGAAGATACTGTTTTTACTTAAACAAGATCAAATCTCCACCCCACTCCATTTGGAGACCAGAAACCTTTCACATGTAATTCCTAAAACTAAACCCAAGACCCTTTCATATGTGATTTCTAAAGCTGTAAACCCAAGACCCTTTCACTTGTAATTTCTAAGGCTGTAAACCTAAGATCCTTTCACGTGTAATATCTAGAGTGTACGCCTATATAAAGGCAGAGCTTCTCTTTTAGGGGAGCTTGGCCGTTTGGACAAAACATAAAGCCTTGCTCCCAGGCCGTAATAATAAAACCCCTTCCCTCTCTAATTCAGTGTCTGAGAGGTCTGTTTCTCATGGCTGTTCCTGCTTCAGTGGAACACAAGGTTTCGAGGAAGATCCCAGGGAAAAGATGGGCACTTAAGGCCTTGGAGAGGACAGTGACCAGGAAGGGCTCACAAGCACTGTTTTGCTCTCTAAAAGCCCCAAATGCAAATCTTCTGTTTCAACTAGATTACTCCCATGAAGCAGGTGAAACAAATTCTACTTGGGCCCAACATTGGGCAGGTTCAGAGCAGGTAGAGGATTATCTCCAATTCCCTTTGTGCTGGGAAATACAAACTGGACCAAACCCTCTATGAATACATTCCCATGCAACCTCCGTAGTCCTTGAGGTTAACAGTGTTGCTATGTGTCTCACTGAGAAAGGAGAATTCAGTAGGAACATGAGACTCTTGTGATATTTCTAACAGGGCTGGTTTTTCTCTACTATATCCTGTTTTTACCCCAGGATATCCACTTTACTACCCTCACCACCTAAGAAAAACAAATACTGGATTTTACTCTAGCAAACCAAAGCTAGGCACTACAAATATTTGTTAAATGAATGAATAAATCAGAGCATAGCTCAAGTGCAAAAATCTTTTCAATCAATAATTTAAAAGCAAAGCCACAAAACAAGATAATCCTCTTGTGCTTTAGTATTGATTAATGAACTCTCAATATTGGTTGTTTCTTGGAAGCTGCAGATTTCACAAGAATAAAATTAAATGGCTTTTTACATCCTTTGTTTGGAGAGAACAGAAGGCTTTACGGGAAGTTATGCTCAGTTCAAATCCAGTTAAACAAGTATAAAACTCTCTACTGTCTTTCTCCAGACAATGAAAATCCGCAATCTTAAGACCGAAACTGTTGAAAAACGCACACTTTGAATGAAGAGACCTTCCAAACAGGGATTGTGTGAGCAACACAGCTGTTTATTCACCCGGGTGCAGGTGGGCTAAGGCCGAAAAGCGCATTAGCAAAGGGCAGTGGGATAGGAGTTGGTTTCAAAGGTTTGGGTAGTTTTTATGGGGGGCAAGGGTGTTGCAGAGTAAGTCCAGTTACAGTGGTGGACGTTAGGAGCAAGGAGTATACATGACCACAAGTTAAGTTACAAAGGCAAGATTAGGTGAGAGGTCTCTACATTATCGTAAGAACAGTTAAGATGGCAGGGTTGGGTGAGGGGCTTGTCAGGGAAGCTCCAATGGGTGATTATGGACAATGGGGAATGTAGGCAAGGGGTAGGAGACAGCCAAGGCAAGCAGGACTTCAGACTTTCAGGCTCCAGGCTTGCATATGGAGACCTGACAGAAACTACTGCCACAGCCATGCATAAAATGCAATGCTGCTGCTTTCCTTTGTTAAAGCGAATGTTCAAGGCTGAGGACCCATAAAAAACAGCATTACTGGCCGGGTGCGGTGGCTCATGCCTATAATCCCAGCACTTTGGGAGGCCGAGGCGGGTGGATCACGAAGTCAAGAGGTCGAGACCATCCTGGTCAACATGGTGAAACTCCGTCTCTACTAAAAAAAAATACAAAAATTAGCTGGGCATGGTGGCATGCGCCTGTAGTCCCAGCTGCTTGGGAGGCTGAGGCAGGAGAATTGCTTGAACCCAGGAGGCGGAGGTTGCGGTGAGCTGAGATCGTGCCATTGCACTCCAGCCTGGGTAACAAGAGCAAAACTCCGTCTCAAAAAAAACAAAAAAAACATTACTGGCTCTACTGTTATTTAGCTGTGTGTTCTTAAAAACGTCCGGATGTATCTCAGCACTTATAACCTAAGAGTGAATCACTGCATTTTACCCTTAACGAGTTACCCTGACACTAATCTTTTTGAAACTGTACTTAATGTTCTCCAAAAATGTACATCCACATATTTGCATATAATTTATTGGGACTGAAAACCCCTGAAACTCATCCATGAACCCCCCCAGATTAGTAACAGCTGGACTAGGTGTTGTCTCAGTCCTCCGAGCTCTATAATTGGTTCCACTAATTTCTAAGTTTTGGGGATTTTTGTTTTGTTTTTTGATGTTTTGTTTAGAAAAACGACTTTTAGTTACCTTCATGATGCTTAACACCATGGTTTCCATTCTAGAACCAGCCATATTCTAAACTTCCCGGTCGGAACGAAAGTTACTTAAGCAAGTAAAAGTGTGACAGTTTGTAACAGATTCTGAATATAGTAATAACCTTTTTATGGTTAAAATTTATTTTTAAAAACGTATTAAACAAGTATTAATTCTTCTCAAACATCAGTTGAGATGTCCCTGGGGTAAGGAGACAAGGTATCAGGGACAGTCCAGAAGTAAAGGAATATACAAAGCATGACTTTGACAGCTGTAGAGGTTTTCTTTTTTTTAATTTTTTATGCATTTTAGGTTTGGGGGTACATGTGCAGAACATGCAAGACAGTTGCATAGGTACACACATGGCAGTGTGTTTTGCCTCCTTTCTCCCCTTCACCCACATTTGGCATTTCTCCCCAGGCTATCCCTCCCCACCTCCCCCTCCCACTGGCCCTCCCCATTTCCCCCCAATAGACCCCAGTGTTTAGTACTCTTCTCTCTGTGTCCATGTGTTCTCATTTTTCATCACCCACCTATGAGTGAGAATATGCGGTGTTTCGTTTTCTGTTCTTGTGTCAGTTTGCTGAGGATGATGTTCTCCAGATTCATCCATGTCGAGGTTTTCTTTTTTTTTCATTTTGGATGGGAGTATAATGCTTTTGCATTAAAATGAACAGATACGTTGTGGAGCAAAATGAGTAAAGACACGTTTTTAAAGATAAAATGTGAAAGTTCAAATATATATGTCTTGCCTACTCAGTTTTTGTTTTCATGTCCAGAGCACACTCACTTCACACTCCTCCCAGTGGTTCTCTCCTGGAAAGTTACACACTACAAAAAGAAGTAATCTCAATCGTAAAATAATTTGACTTTTTGTAACACAATGAAGATAACTAGCACAAAGTGAAAAATGATATGTTTTTTTTGGAGACAGAGTCTCTCTCTGTCGCCCACGCTGCAGTGCCGTGGTTCGCTCAGCTCACTGCAGTCTCACCCTCCCGGGTTCAAGTGATTCTCCTGCCTCAACCTCCCGAGGAGCTGGGATTTCAGGCGCCTGCCACCATGCCCTGCTAATTTTTCTATTTGTAGTAGAGGTTGGGTTTCACCATGTTGCCCAGGCTGGTCTCAAATCCCTGACCTCAAGTGATCTGCCCGCCTCGGCCTCCAAAAGTGCTGGGATTACAGGCATGAGCAGCCACACCTGACCAAGAATTATTTTAGAAGAATGAATGAATACAAGGATTTCCACTAGACTGAAGACTAGTTTGTCAACAGCATTTCAGTGTCTGTAAAGTGCTTACATTTGGAGTTGACACAGCTGGCAGGTGACAACCCAAAGAGGATCTGCTCGTAGCAACCCGCGACCAGCTCCATTCAGCAAAGCACGTGCCTCTTCCTCCAGCCCGGCTCAACCTGGAGGTGACTGAACCGGACGTCAATAAATAAATAAATAAAAATAAAAAGGCCTGAGTCCTTTCTGCATCGGCGTCCGAATTATACGTCATGGGTTCAGGGCTGCCTCTAAGTCGCCTGTAAACGTGCAAACACTTTCAGTGCTGGAAGATCACAAAAGAGGAGGAAATGTCTCCTGCGCTACAATGTCAACCAACGCATCCAAAGTGAAATCGTCTCAGCAAGACCCAAATCGGCCTTTATTAATTAACACGTACTGACAATCCAGAACACCAGAGAAGAAAATTTCTTGGAAACAGAAGGGTCTAAGCGCTGAAGCACTGTATCGCACTTGAAATGGAGGCTGAAGTTTTGACTAGGACGGACTATGCATCTTGTTTATCACCTTACCTACTACGGTGTTTATGAGAACTATACAAACCAAGATTTACTCTATTGGGAGATTGTGGGAAAGCTGTAATGTCTAACGCATACCTCAACCTCTAAACCTTATTAAACTTTTTTTTTCTTTGAGACGGTGTCTGGCTCGTCACCCAGGCTGGAGTGCAATGGAGCGATCTCGGCTCACGGTAGCCTCGACCTCTTGGGCTCAAGCGATCCTCCCACCACCGCCTTCAGAGTAGCTGGGGCCACAGGCGCGCGCCACGCCAGGCCCGGCTACTTTCTAAATACTTTTGTAGAGATGGACTCCAGCTATGTTGCCCAGGCTCACTCCTCCATCCCCAAGAGATGCCGCAACTTTGGCCAATATGACCCCAGAGTTAGACAAGTGAAGCAAGCAGGCATACAAACCGTGCAGGGGCAAGCAGGAACGCGGACAGATCTCGCACACCGGGTCCCTCGAGGCAGCGCGGACGCTGAGCCGCTGGAACAGGTCATCGCGAACCCTAAGTCCCACCCCTCCTTGCCCTGTTACGAAAGGCTCGTTCCACTACTTCCCGAACAAAAAGGAACCCTAACTTCTACCCTCCTAGTACACAACCCACACCAAATCGCAAGCCAAGAGCCCCACCCCACTGCAGGGAACCGCAGCCACAGCTCCGCCCCACCGGGCCGGAAATTGACCCCGCCTCCTCCTGGACATCACGGAAACGAGGGTCTTCGCAGAGGATGTCCCGCCTGCTCCCCTCAGACGGACCTAGCTCTCGCCTTCCTAAGATATGCCTGCTTGCCCCCAATTTTTTCCTTCTTGCAGTGAGAACGTCCTCATATTGCATCCTTACTTATTCTCCTCTTGGGAAATCCATGTGATCTTCCAGCGCTGAAAGTGTTTGCACGTTTACAGGCGACTTAAAGGCAGCCCTGAGCCCATGACGTATAATTCGGGCGCCGATGCAGAAAGGACCCAGGGCTTTTTTTTTTTTTTTTTTTACATCCGGTTCAATCACCTCCATATTGAGCCGGGCTGGCGGAAGAGGCACGTGCTTTGCTGAATGGAGCTGGTCGCGGGTTGCTACGAGCAGGTCCTCTTTGGGGTAACTGTACACCCGAAGTCTGAGGCGTGCGGCGACCGCGAGGTGAGATACCGCGTACCGGGAGACAGCCGGAGGCGGGGCCGGGAAAGTTGGGTTTGGTTCCTACACAGCAGAGGTAAACATTTGAGCGCCTGCTGTTCACTGTCAGATCTCTGGATGAATTGATGAATCAAACCTAAGAGACTTAAGGGAAAAGCTAACCTTTTAAAACACAGAGTGGATATTTTTTCAAAATTAGACAATATCTGCTTGTTACAGTAGACAAAAGGGCCACGGGACACAGAGGAAACGGCATTTCTGCATACGGATAAGTGAGTCGTAGATGGTGGATTTAAGGGTAGATAGATCCCATAAGTTGACTGTATTCAAAATTTAATGAAAAAAGATCTCGCTCTTTCTCTGAATTTCTGTCCTAGAATTTTACAAATTATTAGAGTTAGATTAGGATAAATCACTTATAGATAAAGGATACCAGTTCGTTATTGGTTGGGAACTTATTTGCGAGCTGGGCAGTGGAGTTGCAAAGGTGCTGGAGGTATGCATCTTGCCTTAGAGACGTTCCCTCCATAAGGGTTGGAGGACTGAGGAGATACATAGATGGAGAGAAATTACAGCAGAATGAACAGAAAGCTTTAGTAAATTGCCAGTAGCCAAATAGGTAGGTAGGACTGTACTCACGGCTAGAAATCCTACCTCCTAACATCTAGCTAAGTTTTATTCTTGAAGCAATTCTCAGCATATTCCAGAAACCTGTTTTATTGAGTACAGTACTTTATGAAGTCAAGGTGTCAATCTTGAATTACCTAGATAATTTGGGAGTATGTCACTCGACCTGTTGCTTTTGTTTATTTTGTTTCCTACTCCAGTTATTTGCTTTTGGTCTTTGGCTGAAAAGTGATGTGTTTTGAATAGTCACAGATGGATACTATTGAGTGTTTTCTTTCCAGTGAAATTACTTAACTATGTTTCAGACACACAATAGGCCTACAGCAATCCTGAGGCAGATACAGTTTTTCTCATTTTTGCAGATGAGGAACCAAAATTTTCCTCCTAAATAGGTTAAGCGACTGCTGTAGGCCATACAGCTAATAGTTGGCAGAGCTGACCCAAAATGTCAGGAGCCCCCCAAGGGTCTCTGATATTTGAGGCTCTTAACATTCCCCTATACTGCTACTAAATCTAAGTGATAGCCTAGATAAACCCACATTGTGTGAATTTGAAAAGGATATTATTTGATGTAAGCCCATAGCAGCCCCTCAAGAATGCTTGATTCAAAGGAGACCCCCTTGGTCTTAATTGATGGAAGGAGTATCTGTTGCTCTAATTATGCAGGTCCTGATTTGCAGTAACACGTGTTCAAAGAAGTTTGATGGGTGTTTTCTGTTTGTTTCCCAAATACTTTTTGATGCAGTTCCTTCAGTTTAAGGAGTGTGAGTGTGAGAGTGTGTGTGTGTGTGTGTATGTGTATGTGTATTTTGCTGTCATACTTCACATTCATCCAGACTTCCTAATCCTATTGTCACATGGCAATAAGCATACAGGTGCTGAGATTTCATTATTGGTGATTCTCAGGGACTTATGTTGGTGCTCATGGAAGCATACCTTTACTCTGTTGGTTTTTCTTTGTAAGACTTGTGGTTGGGCGTGGTGGCTCATGCCTGTAATCCCAGCACTTTGGGAGGCTGAGGCAGGTGGATCACTTGAGGCCAGGAGTTTGAAACCAGCCTGGCCAACATGGCAAAACCCTGCGTCTACTAAAAATACAAAAATTAGCTGGGTGTGGTGACAGGCACCTGTAATCCCAGCTACTAGAGAATCTGAGACATGAGAATCGCTTGAACCTGGGAGGCAGATGTTGTGGTGAGCTGAGATCACGCCGCTGCACTCCAGCCTGGATGACAGAGCAAGACTCCATCTCAAAAAAAAAAAAAAAGATTCGTGTAGAATCTAAAAGTCTTCTCTCGTCCAGTCTCCATTACTGCGTTCTAGAGTGGTGATACCCAGTGTTGCCTTCCCATCCCCTTGCTTTACCTTCCTGATGAAGTCTCAAGTCCTTTGTGTTAAACTACGTGTCATTTTTTAGTTTTACATGTCATTCTTCCATGTGTAGGATCCATTGATGATTTTCATGAATTGCAGAACGATTTATCTTTTCAGTAACCAATAAATGGTTCCATGGTTCATAAAAACTACCAGTGGATAGTTGGTAAAACTGTGGGGTGACTGTGGCATTAATTGTGTGTTTTCATCTTCAGCAGCAATGGACTCCTGTGGCCGACTTCACTCACCATGCTCACACTGCCTCCTTGTCAGCAGTAGCTGTCAATAGTCGTTTTGTGGTCACTGGGAGCAAAGATGAAACAATTCACATTTATGACATGAAAAAGAAGATAGAGCATGGGGCTCTAGTGCATCACAGTGGTAAGAAAATTGTATCTTAAGTTGAGCCATTTGCTGTATCTATTTTATGGCAGATTCTGTGGTAGAAGATAGAGGAATTTTTAAAAAAATGGTTTCTTAGCTTGGCGCAGTGGCTCACACCTGTAGTCCCAGCACTTTGGGAAGCTGAGGCAGGTGGATCACTTGAGGTCAGGAGCTTAAGACCAGACCCTTCTCCACTAAACTACAAAAAAATTAGCCAGGTGTGGTGGCACCTACCTGTGGTCCCAGCTACTTGGGAGGCTGAGGCAGGGGAATCATTTGAACCCGGGAGGCAGAGGTTGCAGTAAGCTGAGATTGCGCCACTGCCCTCCAACCTGGGCAACAGAGTGAGACTCCATCTCGGGGGGAAGAAAATGGTTTGCTCTGGGTTGTCTCACAGTTCGTATTGGAAGACAGAAAGGAGGAACTCAGGGAGTAAGGGAGTCAGAGTGAGGTTTCACTGAAACCTTCCTTAAAATGAATCTGAATTTTTTTTTTCTCTTCTCGTCTGTATTATTTTAAAAGAGAAATGTCAGTTGTTAGGCAGATAAAGTTTGCAAGGAGGGTGAAAGGACATTGCAGGCAGAGCCGGCAGTGTGAGGAGCACAAGTAGTAGGATCACAGCAATATCTCACTTTATTGAGGGCATATTGTGTACCCCTCAGTGTGCCAAGAAAGTAGTTTTATCTTTAGTTCATGGAAGAGAACACCTAGTTTCAAAGATGTTACTTGACTTGCCCAAGGTCTCAAAACAGTGGAACTAGAACTTGAACCTAGGTCTAAAGCCCATGCTTTTGACCGCTGGTGTGCATGAGGAGCCGTAAGCTGTTCTGGATTGTGAGAAGGTTAAATTGGAGTATGAGGCGCTACAGAAGTAGATCCCAGAGACCTTGAGAGAAGGCAGGTAGAGGCTGAATGGGAGGGAGGGAGCAAGCAAGCTAATGAGTGATGTGGGCTTGAGGAAAGTACTGCCAGTCTGCTATGGGAGGGCTGCTAACTGAGAATCCAAACAGAAGGAATGATGAAGGCCTGCCCCATTGGAATTGGCAGCTATGGATCGAGCAACATCAGTTTGCAAGGTTTTCTGAGTTTCTTCAGTAGTAAGCCCCAGACATTTCCCTAGAGAGAGGAAGGTTACTTGGTGCGTGCAGTAGGAGGATTAAGTTACAAGGGAATTAAGAATTTTGGTGAAGGAGTAGATTAGGTTGTCAGCTTAGAGAAAATGTGTTGTCAAGGGCCTGGAGATCTCTGAAGTACAAAAGCAGATGGAGTGTGAGTGCAGGAAGGCGTGAAAGGGATGGGAAGATGTGAGCTTGTGGTCAGCAAATAGGTTCCCAGAGGTCAAGATTTCTAACGTGGAACAGCTCTACGTGGTAATGATGCCCAGGCTGTGGTGGTGGGGACTGAAATACAGAGGAGGCAAAGATCACTGGAGTTGAAGTCAAGGAGTAGTAATTCCCACCTTGTTGAGTTTTCCACACTGGTGGTCAAGGTACCAGGGATAGTGGCAGAATCAAGGGAGAGAAAGACTGAACAGGTAAGTTTTTTTCTTCAGTACCAAACATTTTATGCTGTTTTTATTGCATTTTCCTAGGAGACAGAGAATGAGGAGTAACTTAGCTAAGAAAGTTGGTTTTCTGCAAAGGCAGATAAAATAGGTGCCTTTTTTCCTATCCAGTCTTTCTTGTATTTCAGAGGATCACAGCAGGCATGGGTTTCCAGCAGTAAATATGCAGCCATAAACGGCTTCCTTCTATGACATGTTCTCTTAGTATTCAGACTGCTATAACAAAATACCTTAGACTGAATCATTTCTGTATAATGGAGATTTATTTCTCACAGTGCTAGAGGCCGGGAAGTCTAAGAGTAAAGCACCAGTAGATTTTCATGTCTGCTAAGGACTGGCTGGCTGTTGCTGTGTCTTCTTATGGTAGAAGGGCAGCAGCTCCCTGTACAATTCTGCAAGGTCCAGCTTGAGAGTTGGAGCCAGTTTTAAAAAAGCAAACAAACAAACAAAAAAAGTTGTTGTTTTTGTTTTTTTTTTTATAAGGGGTCTTGCTTATTGCCCAGGCTGAAATGCAGTGGAGTGATCTCAGCTCACTGCAACTTCCACCTCCTGGGTTTAAGTGATTCTCCTGCCTCAGCCTCCCTAGTAGCTTGGATTACAGGCGCCCACCACCATGCCCGGCTAATTTTTTACATTTTAGTAGAGACGGGGTTTTACCATATTGGCCAGGCTGGTCTTGAACTCCTGATCTCAAGTTATCTGCCCACCTCGGCCTCCCAAAGGGCTGAGATTACAGGTGTGAGCCACCTCGCCGTGCCAAAAAAAAAAAACTTTTATAAGGTCAATAATCTTGCTCATGAGTCATCCTCACTTAAAGCTTCCACCTCTTAAACTATCACTTTGGCAACTAAGTTTCAGCAAATGATTTTGGGGGACACGTTCACACCATGGCAGACTGTTTATACTGCTTTAAGAGCTGTCTCACCCTTCATCGGCTGTGCTTTGAGTGTTTTACATATACATTCTTTTTTTTTCCCTTTCCCATACCCACTTCATACAACGAAGCCTTCTCTCTCAGGTTTGGAAGAAATAAGTTAAATTCGACCTGCCCATACCCATTAGTACAAGAGTTCAACAATAAGAAAAGGAATGACACAGAAGGAGTTTAGACTTTGCGGGGGGGTGAATGAAATAGGGTTCTTGGTTTCTTGGTTTCCTCCATTTCTTGTATAAATCCTTTTTTTTCTTGTCTTTTTAAGAATTCTTTTCTTATTTTTCCTTCAACCCTTATTTTAAGTTCAGGGATACACATGCAGGATGTGCAGGTTTATTACATAAGTAAACGTGCCTTAGTGGTTTGCGGCACAGATCCCATCCCCTAGGCATTAAGCCAGGCATCCTTTAGCTGTTCTAATGCTCTCTCTCCCCCCACCTTTCCCCTCCCAAAGGCCCCAGTGTGTGTTGTTCTCCCTGTGTGTCCATGTGTTCTCATGATTCAGCTCCCACTTATAAGTGAGAACATGTGGTATTTGGTCTTTCTTTTTCTTTTCTCTTTGTTTTCTTTTCTTTTCTTTCTTTTTTGAGAGGGAGTTTAGCTCTGTCACCCCAGCTGGAGTGCAGTGGCAGGATCTCAGCTCACTGCAACCTCCACTTCCCAAGTTGAAGTGATTTTTGTGCCTCAGCCTCCTAAATAGCTGAGACTATAAGCACACACCACCACGTCCAGCTAATCTTTGTATTTTCAGTAGAGATGGGGTTTTGCCATGTTGGCCAGGCTGATCTTGAACCCCTGACCTCAGGTGATCTGCCCGAATTGGCCTCCCAAAGTGCTGGGATTACAGGCATGAGCCACCACACCCGGCCAGTGTTTGGTTTTCTCTTCCTGCATTAGTTTGCTGAGGATAATGGCTTCAAACTTCATCTACATCCCTGCAGAGCACATGGTCACATTCCTTTTTATGGCTGCATAAATCCTATTTTTCTCAGAGTTGGTAATAGATAAACTTTTTTCTAGGTTAGCGGATATAGGAAAGTAAACTTTCCAAAGTGAGAAATAGGATAATAGGGAGAGGAAAATATGGACAAATGAATGAGAAGTGTTTAGTAATGGATCAAAACAGGTCAGAGTGATAATGACTTGATCGTGGCTGATTGGGTGGCTAGTTCAGGCTTTAGAAAGTGGAAGTCATGTGGCAGTACTCCTGGTTTGTTCCCCAGATTAGCTTGTTAGCCAGTTAGTTTTGTTTACTTCTGCTTAAATTATCCTAGCCAGCCATTTCCTAAATTTGTAATTTGAAGAGGTAAAGCAAGGATGTGAACTGATTCATTCAAAGATGTATCTAAACTGCAGGTACTCTGCTGAAAATATTTGCATAGATTTTAGCAGTTGTACATATACAAAAAACTTTAAGGTGTATTTTAGTAATATTAAGACATCGAGGCCAGGCACGGTGGCTCACGCCTGTAATTCCAGCACTTTGGGAGGCTGAGGTGGGCAGGTCACTTGGGTCCAGGAGTTCAAGAGCAGCCTGGACAACATGGTGAAACTCTGTACCTACAAAAAATACAAAAGTTAGCTAGGTGTATTGGTGTGAACCTGTAGTCCCAGCTACTTAGAATGCTGAGGTGGGAAGATCACTTGAACCTAGGAAGCAGAGGCTGCAGTGGGCCAAGATTGTGCCATAGCACTCCAGCTTGGGTAACAGAGTAAAACCCTGCCTCCAGAGAAAACAAAAAAGGCATTGAGTGTTTTAGTTAGCATAGCATAGCCTTCAAACCAGAAATGGAGTTTGCATTTAAAATGAATATTATTTTTGCCGGTTTTGGTTTTTCCACAGGCACAATAACTTGCCTGAAATTCTGTGGCAACAGGCATTTGATCAGTGGAGCAGAAGATGGACTTATCTGTATCTGGGATGCCAAGAAATGGGAATGCCTGAAGTCAATTAAAGCTCACAAGTGAGTTGGGCTCTTCCCTTTGGCATTCTCCATGTGCCAGTCAAGTCGGGGACTGTTAGTTTCATTTTAGAGGACATGTGACCTTCCTTTCTATTCACCCATCTGGCAAGTTGGCCCTGTCGGTTGGTACAGATAAGACATTAAGGTAAGTCATTAACGCTCGAGAGCATTTTTCTAAGGTGTATCTTTTACTACAGCTCTCCACCATTTAAAAACACTGTGAAACAGGCAGGGCATTTCACAGTATATTTAAATGGTGGAGAGCTGTAGGAAAACATGGTGGCTCATGTCTATAATCTCAGTGCTTAGGGAGGCTGAGGCGAGTGGATCACGATGTCAGGAGTTCAAGACCAGCCTGGCCAGTATGGTAAAATCCCGTCTCTACTAAAAAAGAAATTAGCCAGGCATGGTGGCAGCGTCTATAATCCCAGCTATTCGGGAAGCTGAGGCAGAGAATTGCTTGAACCCGGGAGGCGGAGGCGGAGGCGGAGGTTGCAGTGAGCCAAGCACACCACTGCATTCCAGCCTGCTCAACACAGCGAGGCTTTGTCTCAAAAAAAACAAAATGCTGTGAAACAATGGAAAGGTCAAAAGCTAGTGAACCCTTTCATAATGGTAGGATAAAGATGATAAGCTCTGAACTCAAGCATGTAATTTTGCTCCAATCATCATAGCTGTGAAGTGAAGATTTTTAGGAAGGGAAGCCTTTGGAAAATACAATGGTTATGATGTGTTAAAGGGATATGGGAATGAAGCAAGCCTTAATCCTGCCTGATAATATTTCAGGATGTTGCTGTAAGGAAGATAGCAGGTCTTTTAAATAGCCAATATTTAGTAAAATTGTCACTAGAGTAAGTCGTCATTATGCTTGTTCTTTTACGCTTAGTAAAAGTTAGTTGGTGGTCACACCATAAGTGAGCTTCCTGTTTTGCAGAACGCGGAATCTTGTAGAAGGAAGATCAGCATTCATAAAAAATATAAAACAAAGTGATTATTATAATTTTTTTTTAAGACGGAGTTTCGCTCTTGTTACCCAGGCTGGAGTGCAATGGCGCGATCTCAGCTCATCTCAACCTCCGCCTCCTGGGTTCAGGCAATTCTCCTGCCTCAGCCTCCTGAGTAGCTGGGATTACAGGCATGCGCCACCATGCTCAGCTAATTTTTTGTATTTTTAGTAGAGAGGGGGTTTCACCATGTTGACCCGGATGGTCTCGATCTCTTGACCTCGTGATCCACCTGCCTTGGCCTCCCAAAGTGCTGGGATTACAGGCTTGAGCCACCGCGCCCGGCCTAAAGTGAGTATTTTTGTTTGAAATACAGGTTGAGCATTCCTAATCTGGAAATCTGAAATCCTTCAAAATCTGAAACTCTTTGAACACTGGTGTGATGCCTCAAGTAGAAAATTCAACACGCAGGCCAGGCGCGGTGGCTCATGCCTATAATCGCAGCACTTCAGGAGGCTGTGGCAGGTGAATCACCTGAGGTCAGGAGTTCAAGACCAGTCTGGCCAATGTGATAAAACCCCATCTCTTCTAAAAATACAAAAATTAGCCAGGTTGGGTGGCGGACACCTGTAATCCCAGCTACTTGGGAGGCTGAGGCAGGAGAATCACTCGAACCTGGGAGGCAGAGGTTACAGTGAGCCGAGATTGGCCATTGCACTCCAGCCTGGGTGACAAGAGCAAAATGCCATCTCAAAAAAAGAAAAAGAAAATTCAACACCTAACCTCATGATGGATCACAGTCAAAACTTTGTTTCATGCCCAAAATTATTTAAAACATTGTGTAAAATTACCTTCAGGCTAGGTGTATATAAAACATAGATGACTTTCATTTTTAGACTTGAAACATGAGTTCCACGGGTTGTATCCTTGAGATATTTTGCTGTTTAAATGCAGATATTCCAAAATCCAAAACAGTTCTGGTCTCAAGCATTTTGGATAAGGGATACTCAACCAGTATATTTTAGAGTGACTTAATGGACTATGCATATAGATAGATACACATTCTTACATGTGTGCATGTTACACATTTCTTTCCCTGCATGGTGGTGGTTACCTCTGAGTAAATGCTTTGGGTTACTTTATTTTCCCATTTTAGATCTAGATTCTTGTGGCTTTGCCACCTGCCTTTGATTTTTATTATATTTTATTTTATTTTTGAGATAGAGTCTTGCTCTGTCACCCAGGCTGAAGTGCAGTGGCACAATCTCAGCTCACTCCAACCTCTGCCTCCTGGGTTCAAGTGATTCTCCTGCCTCAGCCTCCCAAGTAGCTGGGGTTACAGGTGCATGCCACCATGCTTGGCTAATTTTTTGTAGTTTTTGTAGAGATGAGGTTTCACCATCTGGTCTCAAACTCCTGGCCTTAAGTGATACACCCACCTTGGCCTCCCAAAATGCTGGGATTACAGGTGTGAGCCACTGCACTTGGCCCACCCTTGACTTTTTGAACCTAGATTATTTTCTAAAAAATTGAACTTGCAAAATGTGTTATGAAGAGCAAATGGCATCATGGATTTGAAAATGCACATTATAAATATTTGCTATTTTTATTACTATGATCATTTTATGTTTTATTTATGAAATAATAAATAGGTCAGGCATGGTGGCTCATACCTATAATCCCAGCACTTTGGGAGGCTGAGGTGGGTAGATTACGAGGTCAGGAGATCTAGACCATCTTGGCCAACATGGTGAAACCCCGTCTCTACTAAAAAAAATTAAAAATTTAAAAATTTAAATAAAAAATAAACTTTATTTTTTTCACTTACAGATGCTCACCTAGTGGAATGGTCCCCAAGAGGAGAGCAATATGTAGTTATCATACAGAATAAAATAGACATCTATCAGCTTGACACTGCATCCATTAGTGGCACCATCACAAATGAAAAGAGAATTTCTGCTGTTAAATTTCTTTCAGTAAGTAATCAGAAATCAGTGACCGAAGTTTGTGGTGATGTTTGGAACTGTTGATGACATTCTGCCTGTTATTATTTTTCATCTCTCCTAGGAGTCTGTCCTTGCAGTGGCTGGAGATGAAGAAGTTATAAGGTTTTTTGACTGTGATTCGCTAGTGTGCCTCTGTGAATTTAAAGCTCATGAAAACAGGTAATTTTACCAATCTCAGGTGTATATGTTGAGTCTTAATAAATGGTATATATGCAGCAGTTTCTTAAACCAGGGTATATGTTTTTATTAACTGCAGAAATAATCAGACATACCTATGTGGACAGTATGTGGTATCTAGAGTCTAATAAAATGGTGGAAAATGTTATCTTCATGGCCTTTAATAATGCAAAAGTGGGCTGGGCATGGTGACTCACGTCTGTAATCCCAGCACTTTGGGAGGCCAAGGTGGGTGGATCATGAAGTCAAAAGATTGAGACCATCCTGGCCAACATGGTGAAACCCCATCTCTACTAAAAATACAAAAATTAGCTGGGCATAATTGTGTGCGCCTGTAGTCCCAGCTACTCGGGAAAGCTGAGGCAGGAGAATCGCTTGAACCCAGGAGGCAAAGGTTGCAGCGAGCCAAGATCACACCACTGCACTCCATCCAGCCTGGCTACAGTGCGAGACTCCCTCTCAGAAAAAGAAAACAAAAAAACAATGCAAAATCGGTGAAGTTGTTTTTTGGGACTAGTCCTTTGCACAAGATAGTTTTTTAAATGTCTGTTAGATTTGGAGCCTGAAATCAAACGTATTTGAACAAACAAAAGACTAAACAGTCTTGAGCTTTGTTCCCAACTACTTTTGTCCTTTTATGTAATTCCCCTTGCCTACTTCTTCCCCCTTTATGAGTGATTTTTTTTCCCCCTGCAGGAGAAGTGAACTGTTATTGAGTTCCAGTTTTGTGCCAGTCTTTATTACCTTTTAATGCTTACTGTATTTCTAGGGGGTAGATAATCTCAAAATAAGCAGTTAAGTGGCTTGGCTAAGATTACCCCACTCTTAGGTAATGCAGCTGAGAGTTGAACCCAGTTTTATCTGACTCTTAGATCCCTGCTTTTTCTAGGAATTTTGAAAAAGGTGATCTAATGTGCAGAGTTATATTTTGATGTATTTCATTTGCATGTTCTATGTCTCAAATGAGTCGTCTTATTTATTAACAGTGGTTAAGTTTTAAGAAATCCGTACTTGGAGTACTGCAGTTACTAAAATAAAGGCCTTACTCTTTCCCTATATTGGGGAGTAAACATTCTTCAAGGTCGCCCATTCCAGGTGTACTAGTAACACTTAAGATATTTGGCCATTCATTCAGTCAACAAGTGTTTATTGATCATCATTACGAAATACTACACGAGGTATTTAATAATGAACAGAAAAGACAAGAGCTTGTGCTCTCATGGCTCTTCTATTGTAGCGAGGCAATAGATTATAAAGTAAGCAGATCATTATGACAGAATGGAAATAGAAAAGTAGAGTGATTAAGGAATAAGCGTAATTGGTTTAGATAGGATGATGAGGCAAGGAGATGTGAGACTTTAAGAATGAGAAAGGAGCTAGTTTTAAAAATAAGAGAGAGTAGGGCCGGGCACCGTGGCACACGCCTTGAATCCCAGCACTTTGGGAGGCTGAGGCAGGTGGATCACCTGAGGTTGTGGGTTCAAGACCAGCCTGACCAACATGGAGAAAACCCCATTTCTACTAAAAATACAAAATTAGCTGGGCGTGGTGGCACATGCCTGTAATCTTGGCTTCTTGGGAGGCTGATGCAGTAGAATTGCTTGAACCTGGGAGGTGGAGGTTGCAGTGAGCTGAGATCACACCACTACACTACAGCCTCGGCAACAGAACGAGACTCCATCTCAAATAAAAGGAAGAGAGAGCCACAGGTGCCACGACCCTGAGGGAGAACAGAGCTTGGTGTATTTTAGGAGCAGATAGAAGACCTTTGTGACTAGGTGAGAGTGAGCAAGGAAAGGGCGGTGGAAGCCAAATGGTGCCTATAATCATATTTTTTCTTACTATGGAAAAATTTAAAAGCATTTAGACTGGTTTATGATACTAATTTTTTTTTTAATGGTACCAACTTTTAAAATTAATTAATTTATTTTAATAGAGATGGGGTATCACCATGTTAGCCAGGCTGGTTTCGAACTCCTGACCTCAGGTGATCCACCTATCTCGGCCTCCCAAAGTGCTGGGATTACAGGTGTGAACCACCGTGCCCGGCCTTATGGTACTAACATTTTAAGACTTGCCACCAGCTTTAGCAGCTGTCACTGTGTGACCAATCTTGCTTCATCTATATGCTCAGCCACTTCCTCTCCCATGTTATTTTAAATTAAACCCCAGTTTTGTAGAGTTTTTGGAAGTTGATTTGATTTACATTTTTAAGGGGCAAAATAGAAGCAGAAAGGCCAATGAGGCTATGTCTGTGATCCAGAAGAAAAGTGATGGCAGCTTAGACTATCAATGGTGGCACTGGAGTGGAGAGAAATGGGTGTGTGGGAGAGACCTTGATTCATCGTTTCTGTTGCCTTTTCTCTCCTTACTGAACTTGGAATTTCTTGAGATGAAGGGCTTTGTTTTACTCATCTTTAGTTCCCTTGTAATAACCTGATTATTTATAGTTATCTATTGTCTTTTCAACTTTTCCTTCAGATATGGTGGGCAGTTGATTTTATCTTGTATTTTGGGCCTGAGTATGATTCACTAATGGAATGTGAAGCTTAGTTATATATATATATTTTTGAGATGGAGTTTCGCTTTTGTTACCCAGGCTGGAGTGCAGTGGCGTGATCTCGGCTCACTGCAACTTCCGCTTCCTGGGTTCAAGCGATTCTCCTGCCTCTGCCTCCCCAGTAGCTGAGATTACAGGCGTGTGCCACCATGCCTGGCTAATTTTTGTAGTTTTAGTAGAGACAGCTTTTTACTATGTTGGCTAGGCTGGTCTTGAACTCCTGACATCAATTGATCTACCAGCCTCGGTCTCCCAAAGTGCTGGGATCACAGGTGTGAGCCACCATGGCCAGCCCCCATTCACCTTTTTAGCAGTTGAACATTCCTTGTGACTGTGAAACCCGGTCCAAATACACACCTACATGCTTATATGAACACACGGATAGATGACAGCAAAAACAGTCACCTGTGAGGGAGGGGACTGCAGCATCCTCGAAGTGGCCTGTTGGCAGGAAGGCTACAGGAACGGGAGAAAGTTGCGGCAGTTGCCCTGGGTGTCTGCCTGCATCCCTCTCAGCTTTCCTCCCTACCTATGAAGACTGTTTACTGAGCTCTTGGGCAACTCTCTGCCTTTTTTCTGTCTGTGGGAGGATGGCTGGTCATGGTCACAGGGCAGGCCGGAGGTCCAGAGAGTTAAAGAAGCAGCCTTCAAGCAATGACCGACCAGCAGTTGATGAAAAAACACCCTTCTGGGCATGGTGGCATGCATCTGTCATCCTAGTGACTCGGGAGGCTGAGGTGGGAGGATCACTTGTGCCCAGGAGTTCAAGGCGCAGTGAGCTATGATCCTGCCACTACACTCAGGCCTAGGCAATAGAGCAAGAATTTTTTTTTTAAGTTGCAGTCTCTCTCTTTTTTTTTTGAGATGTAGTATGGCTCTTGTTGCCCAGGCTGCAATGCAGTGGCGTGATCTCAGCTGACTGCAACCTCCACCTCCCAGGATCAAGTGATTCTCCTGCCTCAGCCTCCCAAGTAGCTGGGATTACAGGCATGTGCCACCATGCCCCAATAGTTTTGTATTTTTAGTAGAGACGGGGTTTCTCCATGTTGGTCAGGCTGATCTCAAACTCCTGACCTCAGGCAATCTGCCCGCCTTAGCCTCCCAAAGTGCTAGGATTACAGGCGTGAGCCACTGTGCCTGGCCGAAAGTTCTTATCTCTTAAAAAAAAGAGGCTGGGTGCAAGGTGGCTCACTGCTGTAATCCCAGCACTTTGAGAGGTTGAGGCAGGAGGATTGCTTATGCCCAGGAGTTTGAGATCAGTCTGAGAAACATAATGAGACCACGTCTCTACAAAAAGTAAAAAATTGGGCCGGGCGCAGTGGCTCATGCTTGTAATCTCAGCACTTTAGGAGGCCAAGGAGGGCGGATCAGCTGAGGTTAAGAGTTCAAGACCAGCCTGGCTAACATGTTGAAACCCTGTTTCTACTAAAAATACAAAGGATTAGCTGGGCATTGTGGCACACGCCTGTACTCCCAACTACTTGGGAGGTTGAGGCAGGAGAATGGCTTGTTCCTGGGAGGTGGAAGTTGCAGTGAGCCGAGATTGTGCCATTCCCTCCAGCTTGGGCAACAGAGCGAAACTCCAGCTGAAAGAAAAAAAAAGTAAAAAATTATCTGGGCATGGTGGCATGCACCTATAGTCCCAGCTCCTTGGGAGGCTGAGGCAGGAGGATCACCTGAGCCCAGGAAGTTGAGACTACAGTGAGCCATGATTGTGCCTCTGCACTGCAGCCTGGATGACAGAGCAAGACCTTGTCTCAAAATAATTAATCAATGAAACATCAAACCCCTTGCTGCCTGGCAGCTGGCGTGGGTCAACTCTGAGGCATACTCTAGCCTGGCTCTCTGAGCTCTCCAGAGGGCTGTAACTGCTCACAGTGGTGACTGGTTCCATGACGTCTCCATTCTTGGCATCCTTCCCTCCCATGTCACTTCTCCATTCCTCTGCTGGTGTTTGCCGTGGGCACCCCCCCACACACACACACATTCAAGTGTGTGTCCTCTAACCTTTGTCTCAGGGTCTGCATCCTGGGGAACCTAAACCAAGACAGAGGTTCCAAGATGAGTCTTCAACAAACTTATAATCAGGCTGGGAGATGAAATCCACAGTTATGATCATGAAGTACTATTAATAATAAGAGAGCAGGGTTGGGCACGGTGGTTTACGCCTGTAATCCCAGCACTTCAGGAGGCCGAGGTGGGCAGATCTCCTGAGGTCAGGAGTTCAGGACCAGCCTGGCCAACATGGTGAAACCCCGTCTCTATTAATAATACAAAAAATTAGCTGGGGGTGGTGGCAGGCACCTGGAATCCCAGCTACTCTAGAGGATGAGGCAGGAGAGTCGCTCAAACCCGGGAGGCGGAAGTTGCAGTGAGCTGAGGTTGTACCATTGCACTCCAGCCTGGACAACAAAAGCAAAACTCCCTCTCAAAATAATAATAATAATAATAGAACATATATAATAAATCTAGCCAAGATGACCTGCCTCTTTTAAGTATGGGCTCAGTGCCAGGGACTGGTCATTGGGCACAATGTCTCTTATCTTGCTGAAGCCAGATAAGAGTATTCATACTCACCAGAGTCCTTGTGTTACTCCATTTGCATTGCTATGAAGAAATGCCTGACACTGGGTAATTCATAAAGAAAAGAGTTTCATTGGCTCATGGTTCTGCAGGCTGTACAGGAAGTATGACACCAGCATCTGTTCCTTGTGAAGGCCTCAGGAAGCTTGCAATCATGGTAGAAGGCAAAGGGAAGCAGGTGTCTCACATGGTGAGAGAGAGCAGATAGACATGGTAGTTCATACCTGTAATCCAAGCACTTTGGGTGCCAAGGCAGGCGGATCACCTGAGGTTGAGAGTTCAAGACCAGCCTGACCAACATGGTGAAACCCTGTTTTTAAATTTAAAAAAAAAGAGAAAGAGAAAGAGAGCTGATGAGAGAAAGTGGTAGTAGGCGCCACACTTTTTTTATTTATATTTATTAATTTATTATTTATTAATTTTTTTTTTGTAGAGACACTTTTTTTTTTTGAGTTGGAGTTTCGCTCGTTACCCAGGCTGGAGTGCAATGGCGCAATCTCGGCTCACCGCAACCTCTGCCTCCTGGGTTCAGGCAATTCTCCTGCCTCAGCCTCCTGAGTAGCTGGGATTACAGGCACGTGCCACCATGCCCAGCTAATTTTTTGTATTTTTAGTAAAGACGGGGTTTCACCATGTTGACCAGGATGGTCTCCATCTCTTGACCTCATAATCCACCCGCCTCGGCTTCCCAAAGTGCTGGATTACAGGCGTGAGCCACCGCGCCCGGCCCGATCTCACATAAACTCAGAGCAAGAACTCTCTCATCACTGCAAGGAGGGCACCAAGCTATTCATAAGGGATCATCCTCATGACCCAAGCACCTCCCACCAGTCCCCACTTCCAACACTTGGGATTATATTTCAACATGAGAGCTGGAGGGGACAAATAACCAAACCATGTCATATTGCCCCATGACCCTCCAAATCTCATATCCTCACACTGCAAAATACAATCATCCCTTCCCAATAGTCCCCAAAAGTCTCAACTTGTTTCACTATCAATCGGTCAAAAGTCCCAAGTCCAAAGTCTCACCCAGAGATGAATTTCTTCCACCTCTGAACCTGTGAAATGAAAGACAAGTTACTTACTTCCCAGATACGGTGGTAGTACAGGCATCGAATAAACATTCTCATTTCCAAAGAGAGAAATGTGCCAAAAGAAAGAGGCAAGAGACCCCACACAAGTCCTAAATCCAGCAGGGCAGTCATTAAATCTTAAAGCTTTGAAATAATCTCCTTTGACTCCCTGTCCCACTGGGGAGCTCTGGCCTTGTGGCTTTGCAGGGTGCAGCCCCTGGGGGTGCTCTTGGTTGAAGTTGAGTGCCTGCAGCTTTTCCAGGCTCAGGAGGCAAGCTGCCCATGGCTCTACCGTTCTGAGGTCTGGAGCATGGCAGTCCCCTTCCCACAGCTCCACTAGGCAGTGTCCTGATGGGGACTCTGTGTGGGGATTCCAATTCCACATCTCTCCTCCCCTGTGGCAGGCTTCTGCCTTGGGCACCCAGCCTTTCTCATACATTCTCTGAAATCTAGGGAAAGCTGTCAAGCCTTCTTCATGCGCAGTCTGTGCACATGCAGACTTAACGCCACATGGGAGCTGCCAAGGCTTATGGGTTGCACACTCCAGAATGGCAGCCCAAGCCATATCTGGTGCCCTTTGAGCCATAGCTGGACATGGAGCAGCTGGGATGTGGGCAGCTCTGTCTCAAAGCTGGGCAGGGCAGCAGGACCCTGGGCCTGGACCAGGTAACAAGTCTTTCCTCCTAGGCCTCTGGGTCTGTGATGGGAGGGGCTGCTCTAATGATTTCTGAAATGCCCTTGAGGCCTTTTTTTCCATTGTCTTGGATATTAGCACTTGGCTTCCTTTTAGTCTTGGAAATTTCTCTAGCAAGTGATTGCTCCACAGCCTGCTTGTATTCCTCTTCCGAAAATACTTTTTTCACTAGCCTGGCACAGTGGCTCATGCCTGTAATCCCAGTACTTTGGGAGAATGAGGCGGGTGGATTGCCTGAGGTCATGAGTTTGAGACCAGATTGGCCCACAAAGTGAAACCCTGTCTCTACTAAAAATACAAAAAAATTGGCCAGGCGTGGCAGCTTATTCCTGTAATCACAGCACTTTGGGAGGATGAGGTGGGTGGATCATGAGGTCAGGAGTTTGAGACCAGCCTGGCCATCATGGTGAAACCCCATCTGTACTAAAAATACAAAAATAAGCCGGGCGAGGTGGCAGGTGCCTGTAATCCCAGCTACTCAGGAAATTGAGGCAGGAGAATCCCTTGAACCCAGGAATTGGAGGTTGCAGTGAGTTGAGATCGTGCCTGCACTCCAGCCTGGGGAACAGAGCCAGACCCGGTCTCAAAAAACAAAAAAAAATTAGCTGGGTTTGGTGGTGGGCATCTGTAATCCCAGCTACTAGGAAGGCTGAGTCAGGAGAATTGATTGAACCCAGGAGGCAGAGGTTGCAGTGACCCGAGATCGCACCGTTGCACTCCAACCTGAACAATAGGAGCATGAAACTCCATCTCAAAAAAAAAAGAAAAAAGAAAATGCGCTGGATGCAGTGGCTCATGCCTGTAATCCCAGTACTTTGGGAGGCTAAGGCAGGTGGATAACTTGGGGTTGGGAGTTTGAGACCAGCTGACCAACATGGTGAAACCCCTTCTCAAATAAATACAAAAAATTAGCCAGGCGTGGTGGCACATGCCTGTAGTCCCAGCTACCCAGGAGGCTGAGGCAGAAGAATCGCTTGAACCCAGGAGGTGGAGGTTGCTATGAGCCGAGATCATGACATTGCACTCCAGTCCAGGCAACAAAAGCTTAAAACTGTGTCTCAAAAAAAAAAAAAAGAAAATGCTGCTGGGCGCGGTGGCTCACGCCTGTAATCCCAGCACTTTGAGTGGCTGAGGTGGGTGGATCACCTGAGGTTAAGAGTTCAAGACCAGTCTAGCCATCATGGTGAAAACCCCATCTTTAAAAAAAAAGAAAGAAAATGATTTTCTGCCACATGGTCAGGCTGCAAAGTTTCCAAGCTTTTAAGCTCTACTTCCTTTTTAAATAAAAATTCTAACTTTAAGTCATTTATTTGCTCCCATATCTGATAATAGGTTGTTAGAAGCAGTCAGGCCACATATTGAATGCTTTACTGCTTAGAAATTTATTCCATCAGATACCCCAAGTCATCACTCTTAAGTTCAAACTTCCTCAAATCCTTAGAGCATGGAGACAGTGCAGCCAAGTTCTTTGCAAGGACATAACACGGGTGAGCTTTACTCCAGTTCCCAATAACTTCCTCATTTCCATCTGAGACCTCATCAGCCTGACCTTCAGTATCCATCTCACCATCACCATTTTGGTCGAAACCACTTGACCAGTCTCTGAGAAGTTCCAAACTTCCCCTCAACTTCCTGTCTTCCTCTGAACCCTCCAAACTCTTCCAGCCTCTACCCATTATCCAGTTCCAAAGCCACTTTCACATCTTCAGGTATTTTTATAGCAATGCCCCACTCTTGGTACCAATTTTCAGTGTTAGTCCATTCTTGCATTGCTATAAAACAAATATCTAAGGTGGTTGGGCATGGTGGTTCACGCCTGTAATCCAAGCACTTTGGAGGCCAAGGCAGGTGAATCACCTGAGGTCGGGAGTTCAAGACGAGCCTGACCAACATGCTGAAACCCCGTCTTTAAAAAAAATAATAAAAAAAAAAGAACAAATATCTAAGGCTATGTAATTTATACAGAAAAGAGGTTTGATCAGCTCACAGTTCTGCAGGAACTGCACAGGAAGCATGGCACCTGGTGAGGCCTCAGGAAGCTTCCGGTCATGGTGGACAGCAGAGCAGGAGCAGGCATGTCACATGGTGAAAGAGAAAGCAAGAAAGAGATCGGGGAGTGGGGAGGTGCCACATTTTTTTTTTTAAACAACCAGATACTGTACAAACCCAGAGCAAAGACTCACTCATTACCATGAGGAGGGCACCAGTCATTCAAGAGGCATCCACCCCCTTAACCCAAACACCTCCCACCAAGCCCCACCTCCAACACTGAGGATGACATTTCCATATGAGATTTGGAGGGGACAAATATCCACACCATATCAGTCCTCTACCTTCGTAGTCCCCATTTGACAGATAAGAAAGCTGAGGTTTAGAGAAGGCTTTTGCTCAAGGTTAAGAGCTAGGCAGTGGCAGTTTGGCCTGGAGAGCCTAGGCCCAAACAGGGAGGTCCCTAAGCACTGATTGCATTGTGGAGAGCAGAAGAGAGAGAGGCCAGAGGTCCTTGGCATGACCTTTCAGGAAGGGAGACCTTGAGGATGGGCAGACGTGGGAAGATGAAGAGTCCGGCAGAGGGCCTTGGGCCTCAGTTTTCTCATCTGTCAAGTAGGCATGATAATAGGACCCCTCCCCTCCCATAGGGCCATTTGGGGATTGAGTTAATATAGACATAAAGAGCCTGTAGTAAGTGTTCACGAAATACTAATTATTATGAATGGGAACAATGTGAGCTGTCGGGTGTAGTCCTGGTTGGAGGTCTGAACAGGTTCCAGAGGCAGCCTTCCAGTTCCCACTCCCAGCACCCAGGCCCTGAAGGGAGAGAGCTGCAAAGGCAAAAAAAAAAAAAAAAGTTAATCAGTCCGGAACCCCTGAATTTGGGGGTTTAGTCAGGCAGCCTGCATTCCTGCATTTTCCTTTTTAAAAGAACACCACGACCTCTGTCACCCAATCTTCACATCTCCATTCTCAACAACCTGGAAGTCCTCCCTGCTGTCTAACCTCTTATCTTCCTGCTGTGCATTTAGTCTGTGGGGCAAAGGGAGAGCTAATGAATCTCCGCGATTGGCTTTGGAGTCAGCTGGAAGCAGGGCAGGTGGAGCCTGTGTGTGGTCCACAGACTATGGTGCCAGAGAAAACTCACTCTGGGCTCAAAGGCCTGTCTGGCTCAGGATGGAGGGAGTGGGCCAGGGCCTCACCACCGGACGGTGGGATCACAGAAGATCTTGGAGGCAGCTGCAGGTGGAGGCTGGAGATAGGCTTTGGTGAAGTCCCTGTCCCAACTTTGAGGCTCCTCCCAGCCACTGCTGGGGAAGTGTTCAGGGCAGGGTCTGTGAGGGGTCCTCTGCTGGGCTGCCCTGCCTTTGTCTGAGTGTAACGCCTGAGTGAAAAGAGATTATCCTCCCAGATTCCCCAGCTGTGACTATTCTGCAGCACTGAGGTGACGCCTACAGGCTCTGGTGACAAGCAGACCTGAGTTTAAGTCCCAACTCTGTCACTTATTAGATTGTGACATTGAGCAAACCCCTTCACCTCCCTGAGCTTTCCTTATGTGACAAATGAGGATGCCTTGCTGTACAGCCTTCACCAAACAGCTGACTTTCCATTCCCCATCTGGAGCACAGGAATGAACCATTAGCTGTTTGATTGACAGCAAGTCCCAACAGCTTGGTAAGCCTCAGTTTCCCCATCTGTAAAATGGGGATTAGAATGAGTTAAGACTAAGCACCAACACACCTAAGCACCATGGCACCACCTGGGGGGGCATCGGGTGCTGGCGATGGTTGGTTATTTATTCCTCCTTTCTGAATCGTCCCCATGTGCCTCGCTCTGGGTAGCTTTCCTTTCTGCTCCCCCAGCCAACTCCAGACAAACACAGAGGGCTACTAGTATGCTGGGGTCACTCCTGGGAGTGGTTATGCTTTGAAATAGAGCATAGAATGACAGCAGTGCCAACCACAGGAAGGAGCTTCTGATGTTCAGCTTGGCCCAATCCATGTCTACCACAGGCTTGCAGGGGGTCAGGAGCTGGGCTGCAGCTGGGGTCCATGGCAACCAGGGGCACCTAGGCCCTTGGGGAATCCTCCCCTTCATGCCCCTGCTTTGACTGGGAGGGGAGAGGAGAATGCCAGTGTAATGGTCCTTCAGGGTTGGTTCACCCGAGAACTCAGCTGACTGTGGGCAATGCTTGGCAGGAATCCATCTCTGTACTCTGGGAACCACCCTTTGGAACTCAAGGAGACTGACCACAGGCCCTCCCATTCCTGGGACCCTCTTCCAGGGACCTTCAGATTCCATACTCTGCTGCTTCCTGCAGCAAAGTGACAGGGATCTGAATGTTTCCTGTGAAATGAGCCCCACATGAGACTGGCAGGCAGCAGGCACCCACTGGGGGTTTATGGGATGAATGAGTGATTGGAGATGTGGAGGAAAAGGCAGAGGACTGGCTGGGCATGGTGGCAAACACGTATAATCCAAGCACTTTGGAGGCCAAGGCAGGTGGATCACCTGAGGTCGGGAGTTCAAGACCAGCCTGACCAACATGGTGAAACCCCGTCATAAAAAAACAAAAACAAAAACAAAAACGCCAGGCGCGGTGGCTCACGCCTGTAGTCCCAGCACTTTGGGAGGCCGAGGCGGGTGGATCACGAGGTCAAGAGATCTAGACCATCCTGGTCAACATGGTGAAACCCCATCTCTACAAAAAATTAGCTGGGCATGGTGGCACGTGCCTGTAATCCCAGCTACTCAGGAGGCTGAGGCAGGAGAATTGCCTGAACCCAGGAGGCGGAGGTTTCAATGAGCCGAGATCGCGTCGCTGCACTCCAGCCTGGGTAACAGGAGCAAAACTCCTTCTCAAAAAAAAAAAAGTCCAGACACTGGCTCAGTCTCCAGGACTCTTCCAGCGTGGCCGAGGACACCTCTTCACACAAGATGGTAGAAACAAATCATAGGCGCAGCCGCACCAAATTCACAGAAGATCAGTTGAAAATCCTCATCAATACCTTCAATCAAAAGCCCTACCTAGGTTGTGCCACCAGACAAAAACTTGCTTTAGAAATCAACACAGAAGAGTCCAGAATCCAGAATTGGTTTCAGAATCGAAGAGCTAGGTTTGGATTCCGGAAAAGACCAGGATCTGAGACTTTAGAATCAAGCCAGAGCCATGGGCAAGACCAATCTGATACGGAGTTTCAAAGTAGAGAAGCCAGACGGTGTCGTGCCGTGTACGGCACCTTTCAGTTATGCACTCTCATTGAGGCAGTTACGAAAAACCCACACCCTGGGATTCATTACAGAGAACAGCTTGCTAAGGAAATTGGTGTTCCAGAGTTAAGAGTCCAAATTTGGTTCCAAAATCGAAGATCTAGATTTCATCTCCAGAGAAAAAGGGAACTTGTGTTCTTAGAACCAGAAGACCAGGGCAAGATTTCTGAGGGACTGCAAGGTGCAGAAGATACACAAAATGGCACCAACTTCCCCAGCGACTCTCATCCCTCTAGAGCCAGAGCATGGTGAACACGGTCAAGGTTAGCGTACTTTATATTATCAGTTGGGCCCCAAATCTCTGCAGTCTTGGGGAAGACTGTTGCCCAGGTGCCAAGGCAAGAGACTGAAGGCACAATCTGTCCCCAGTATCATAAATAACTGATCACTTAGTTATAGCAATGCTACCAGATAGATTTGGAAACAATCACATAATCAATTATATAATCAATCTTATTAAATCATAATTCTCTTTTATTTATTTATTTTTTTTGAGATGGAGGCTTGCTGTTGTTACCCAGACTGGAGTGCAATGGCACAATCTCAGCTCACCGCAACCTCCGCCTCCTGGGTTCAAGTGATTCTCCTGCCTCAGCCTCCCGAGTAGCTGGGACTACAGGTGTGCACCACCAGGCCCTGCTAATTTTCATATTTTTAGTACAGACAGTGTTTCACCATGTTGACCGGGATGGTCTCGATCTCTTGACCTCGTGATCCACCCGCCTCGGCCTCCCAAAGTGCTGGGATTACAGGCATGAGCCACCGCGCCCGGCCTTATTTTTTTTTATTTTTTATTTTTTTAAAGATGAGGTTTCACCATATTGGTCAGGCTGGTCTCCAACTTCTGACCTCAGGTGATCTGCCCGCCTCAGCCTCCCAAAGTGCTGGGATTACAGGTGTGAGCCACTGCATCTGGCCCATAATTCTCTATTATTAATCTTTGCTCTAGTTTTATAGCATAGAATCATTTTAGTCTTATAGTATAGACATAATCGGGTGAAATATAATTAGCAACTGAAGGGACATTTTGAGAAGTGATCCTGAGGCGACAGTGAGAGCCTTGTGATAATGCCAGCACCTGGGAAGGCACCATTACTTAGCAGTTAGGCCTTGTGCTAAGGGGCCACACACTGGGAAGGCGCCCTGTTACTTAGCAGGCCATGAAGGGAAGTTTCCCTATTACCGGGGGGAGCTCAGAGAACACTCTGCTCTGCCCGGCTCTTGAGAAAGGCCTGACATTAGCCAGGCCTGCACAGACATCCAGGGGCTTAAATGCCTCTCTGTGGTGCTGTGCTCCAGTGGTCACCATCCTTGTCCACTTTCACGTTCTGCTTTCCCACCCAGAGCTCCTTAGAAATCGTGAGAAGTAAGAATAGCAGAATCCTAAATGCCTTTGATCTTTCTGATAAGTGCATAGAAAGATGCTGATGTTTGTGCCTCCCCTCCTTGCAGCGGCTGCCTGAGAGGGAGGGGCCCCTGTACTATAAGCACGTGATTTGCTTGACCCTATCAATCATGTCAGATGAGTCACTTTCCTTATCCTGCCCCCCTGCCTTGTATACAATAAATATCAGCGCGTCCCAGCATTCTGGGCCACTACTGGAAGATGCAAGGATTTTCCTCTAGAACCTCCTGAGGAGAAACCAGCCTGACAACACCTCGGTTTTAGGACTTCTGCATTCCTGAACTATAAGACAATAAGTGTGTGTTTTAAGGCACAAAGTTTTTGGAGTAAGCAAGGAACTAATATACCTTTGCTTCATTGCCAGTGTGTGGCCCACAGCAGGTGCTCAATAAATGTTTGTTGAAAAAGAAAAAAAAAAAAAAAAAAAGCAGAGGACCTAGGTTGGGGCTCTCAGTGCCCCTCTGAGTCCTTCCACGGTTTCTGCTAGGCTGTTCCTCTGTCCTGGGCTTCCTCCCTCTCCACAGGGACACGGGGATGCTGGGATTAAAGTCCTAGTACTACCCTCCACCAACAAGTGCAGGAGTTAGTGGTTAAACAACCTGCTCCCCACCTCGGCTCTCCCACCCCTTGGTGGGACAACCTGAGGCTGTAGGGCACAGCCCCTGAGAATGTTGCCAGCAGGGTCGAGCCCCAGTGCCAACCAGGCTTGTGCTTCCGGGGATCTTCTCCCAAATAAACCCCTTCCAGAGAAAATCTGCCCAACTTTGAAGGCCAGACTCTGAGGATGTTTGCAGCACCGGGGCCTCCGGAAGGCAGCACTGCATTCAGCCCCTTGGGATGTTTCTGAGGCCTGGCTGTCTCTGCATTGTGGTGCCTGGGGGGGTTGGGAGCTGTAATCCCTCAGACCTCAGCCCAGCCTCCTCTGTTCTCAGGCCGGCCCAGCAGCCGGTGGGACTGTGGGAGGAAGAGGCCAACTGCTGAGGCCAGGCCGGCTTCTCTCCATCTGGCCGGCAGCCTCCCCCTACTGCCCTAGGACAAGGGCCCCAGTGTCTGCTCAGCTCCTGGGCAAACAGCAGGCCTTTCTCTCCCTCTCCACTCTGGAGCCTCAGCTGTGACCCCTCCCTGCCCCCTTGGGAGGCACAGCCCTCCATGCATGACCTTTTCCTTCTCAATGATTCAGAAACAGGCTGACAAGCCCAGCAAGGGAGCAGGTCCTGTATAGTGGGTGAACCCCCATTTCATCGTTCCCAGCTTTGGCCAGGCAGCCAGGGCAAGAATTGGCTGGGAGGGCCTCAGTCCTGCCAAGATGGGGTGGGGTGCGGCTGGAGGCCAGGCCCAGCCCAGGTGGACTTGACGTCATGCGTTTCACCTCTGTCTCCCTCAGACAAAGCCTGCTTCTTCCTGCCTGGCCCTGCCCCTGGGGAAGTTTTCCACACCGCTCTCCTTTCCCAGCAGGATTACAGGGCTGATGCTCCCCCTCCCAACACACCTTTCTTGTTGGCAGGTGAGGTGCCAAGGCCTGGGCATACTCACAGAAACCTGCCCCGCTTCCCTCTTGGTTCAGGGTCTACCTCGAGCATCTGGAGAGAGAAAGAATGGCCAGAGGCCACCCCCTCTCTTTGGGAGCTCCTGCCAAAATGCCAACCTGGGCTTCAGGATGGGGTGACTTCAGAGGGCAACTGGGAACTGTAATTAACCTCCACTGCAATCCCCACCACTCCCAACTCAGATTCAGAACTCAGGGGGTTTGGCAGCTCAGCCTAGCCCCCCAGCTTCCTCCTAGCCATCGGGTATAACAGGCAATCAAAAACAGATTACTAAACAGGGAAGGGGACTTGGAGGCCTGATTTGTGGAGATCTTGTTAAAAGTTTGCCTTATACATGTCCTATTCTTGGTCATCCATTTGAAACAAAATTCCACCATTAGATGGTCATTCCTTTAGTGCTTGCTCTCTCTCTCTCCTCTCTCTCTCTCTCTCTCCCCCCCCCCCCTCTCTCTCTCTCTCTCTCTGTCTATTTTGAAAACAATCCTCAGGTCTGGCTTGGCATGGTGGCTCATGCCTATAATCCCATCACTTTGGGAGGCAGAGGTGGGTGGATTGCTCAGGAGTTCGAGACCAGCCTGGGCAAAATGGTGAATCCCGTCTCTACTAAACTATAAAAAATTAGCTGGGTGTGGTGGTGTGCACCTGTAGTCCCAGCTACTTGGGAGGCTGAGGCAGGAGAATGGCTTGAACTCGGGAGGCAGAAGTTGCAGTGAGCGCTGAGATTGTGCCACTGCACTCCAGCCTGGGCAACAAGAGTGAAACTCCGTCTCAAAAAAAAAGAGAGAGAGAGGGTAAAAAGTGATTCTTTTACCAGTTCCTGGCCCCCAGACCTCCCACCCAGAAGCCCCTAAAATCACTGGCTTCCTGGGAATCCTGATCAGAGCTTCTTATTCTCTCTGGGAGAGGAGCCTTGGAGGTGGAGCTGGTGGGTGCTGGGAGATACCCAGCAATTGAGGTTGGGGCCTGGGCCAGGCAGATCGGTCATGAGGGGGATGATGGTGACTCCTTCCTGGGCCTGAACTTGGCTCCAGCTTAACAGCGTTCCACTCAAGCCACTTGGAAGAGGTGCAGTCCATCAGTTCTTCCCAGTTCCTTAGAGCGTCTCTGGGAGCTCTGTGCTCCCCACCCAGGGAACCCAGGCACCTGACACCCCAAGCTGTCGTTCTCACGGTCTCCTTGTGTATGTATCTCCTGATGTAGTTTATATGCTTTCCCCACCTCTTTCTCCTTGACAGTTCAATTCCATGCAGATTTATTAGGCACATACTGTTTTCTTTTTCTTTTATTTTTTTGAGACGGAGTTTCCCTCTTGTCACCAGGCTGGAGTGCAATGGCATGATCTCGGCTCACTGCAACTTCTGCCTCCTGGGTTCAAGTGATTCTCCTGCCTCAGCCTCCTGAGTAGCTGGATTACTGCTGCATGGCACCACGCCCAGCTAATTTTTGTATTTTTAGTAGAGACAGGGGTTTCATCATGTTGGCCAGGCTGGCCTCAAACTCCTAACCTCAAGTGATCCACCTGCCTCGGCCTCCCAAAGTGCTGGGATTACAGGGGTGACCCACCTTGCCCCCCCAAGCACTTACTATTTTCCTGACTTGACCTGGAGACACAAAGTGAAGGACACAGCTTCCTTCATCCAGCTCACAGTTGGCTCAGGGAGGCCAGAAAAGACAGAGTGTTTCAATCCAAGATGGCCCATGATATGTTCTTTGATGGGGGGGAATAAGGAAATCTCATGTTAAAAATTCTGTGTTGGTTTAGGATACAGTTCAGTGGGCACATTCCTATGTAGCTGGCAAGAGGGTAAATTAGAATATCCAAGGCCGGGCTTGGTGGCTCACGCCTGTAATCCCAGCACTTTAGGAGGCTGAGGTGGGCGGATCACAAGCTCAGGAGATGGAGACCATCTAGGCTAACATGGTGAAACCCTGTCTCTACTAAAAATAAAAAAAAAATTAGCTGGGCCTGGTGGCAAGCACCTGTAGTCCCAGGTGCTTGGGAGGCTGAGGTAGGAGAATGGCTTGAATCTGGGAAGTGAAGGTTGCAGTGAGCCAAGATTGCACCACTACCCTCCAGCTTGGGCTATAGAGTGAGACTGCATCTCAAAAAAAAATCCAAACTGGGGAGCCACGGTGGCTCCGGCCAGTTGTCCTGGTGCTCAAGGAGGTGAGGCTGTGAGTTCAAGGCCAACCTGAGCAACATAACAAGCTCTCATTGATTGACCAAAAAAAAAAAAAAATTTTTTTTTGCCAGGCGCGGTGGCTCAAGCCTGTAATCCCAGCACTTTGGGAGGCCGAGCTGGGTGGATCATGAGGCAAAGAGATCGAGACCATCCTGGTCAACATGGTGAAACCCCGTCTCTACTAAAGATACAAAAATTTAGCTGGGCATGGTGGCATGTGCCTGTAATCCCAGCTACTCAGGAGGCTGAGGCAAGAGAATTGCCTGAACCTGGGAGGTGGAGGTTGCGGTGAGCTGAGATCGCGCCATTGCACTCCAGCCTGGGTAACAAGAGCGAAACTCTGTCTCAAAAAAAAAAAAAAAAAAAAAAAATCTAAATTGGAGAATAATTTGGCAACTCCTAGGAAGTAATCCAGCAATGGTACTTTCTAAGTTTTTATTCTAGAGCAGGGCTTCTCAAGCTTTTTGACAGGTATCCTCAATAATAAATATATTGTTACCCATAACACACATATTACACAACAGACAACTTTCACCCTATTATTTACCCTGATGATGTGTTACAAATATTGATACTTTCTAGTCAATTTTGAGTTTTAAAAATGCTGATCTTGGCGGGGCGCGGGTGGCTCACGCCTTTAATCCCAGCACTTTGAGAGGCCGAGGTGGGTGGATCACAAGGTCAAGAGATTGAGACCATCCTGGTCAACAAGGTGAAACCCTGTCTCTACTAAAAACACAAAAATTAGGTGGGCATGGTGGTGCGCACCTGTAGTCCCAGCTACTCGGGAGGCTGAGGCAGGAGAATTGCTTGAACCCAGGAGGCGGAGGTTGCGGTGAGCCGAGATCATGCCATTGCATGCCAGCCTGGGTAACAACAGTGAAACTCTGTCTCAAAAAAAAAAAAAAAATGCTGATCTTCACCCACTAAGTTGATTTCCTATCTCATGAATGGGCCTCAATCCACAGTTTGAAGGACACTGCCCCTGAGACATGCATGCATGTGCACAAGGAGACAAGAATGTTTACTGAAACATTGTTGCAATAGCAAAACTTAGATAAGTCTTTATTCAAGACCTGTCACCAACAAAATGGATAAAGTAATTGTGATGTGGCCAGGAAGTAGACTATCACACAGTAGCTGTGTATCAAAGGATGCACACAGGGTGATAACATTTATACAAGATATAAGATCCTGCAAAGTGACATCATGCATTGTTTATGGATACATTGAAATGCCGTACAAACATAAAAACCTACCTGAAATGAAACCCACCCAAATCAGGATAGTGGCTGTCTCTGGAGGGAAAGAACTTAGTTGAAGAGTGCATGAGGAGGGAGGAGCTTCAACTGAGTTTTTTGTTTGTTTGTTTTTTTAAGACAGGATCTCACTCTGTCACCCTAGAGTAGAGTGCGGTAGCATAATCAAAGCTCATTGCAGCCTTAACCTCCCTGGGCTCAGGTGATTCTCCCACTTCAGTCTCCCAAGTAGCTGGGACTACAGGTGTTCTTTTTTTTTTTTTTTTGAGACAAGGTTTTTGCCATGTTGCCCAAGCTGGTCTTGAACTCCTAGGCAAAAGTGATCCTCCAGACTTGGCCTCCCAAAGTGCTGAGATTATAGATGTGAGCCACATTGCCTGGCCACAACTGAAATTTTAAGTTTCAATTAATGAATTAATTTTGAGACAGAATCTTGCTCTTGTTGCCCAGGCTGGAGTACAATAGCACTGTCTCGGCTCACTGCAACCTCTGTCTCCCCAATTCAAGCCATTCCCTGCCTCAGCCTCGGGGGTAGCTGGGATTACAGGCATGCGCCAGTATAGCTGGCTAATTTTGTATTTTTAGTAGAAACAGTGTTTCTCCATGTTGGTCAGGCTGGTCTCAAACTCCCAATTTCAGGTGATCTGCCCACCTTAGCCTCCCAAAGTGCTGGGATTACAGGCATGAGCCACTGCCCCCGGCCCTTATTTTTATTTTTGACATGGAGTCTTACTCTGTTGCCCAGGGCTGAGTGCAGTGGTGTGATCTTGGCTCACTGCAACCTCCACTTTCTGGGTTCAAGTGATTCTTTTGCCTCAGGCTCTCTAGTAGCTGGGACTACAGGCAAATGTCATTTCACCTGGCCAATTTTTTTTTTTTTTTTTTTTTTGTCTCACTGAGTCTTGTTCTGTCACCCAGGCTGGAATGCAGTGGCATGATCTTGACTCACTGTGACCTCTGCCTCCCAGGTTCAAGCAATTCTCCTGCCTCTCAGCCTCCTGAGTAGCTTGGATTACAGGCACGTGCCACCATGCCCGGTTAATTTTTGTATGTTTATTAGAGACGGGGTTTCACCATGTTAGTTAGGCTGGTCTCGTACTCCTGACCTCATGATCTGTTCGCCTCGGTCTCCCAAAGTGCTGAGATTACAGGCATGAGCCATTACACCCAGCCTGCCTGGCTAATTTTTGTATTTTTGGTAGAGATGGGCTTTCACTATGTTGGCTAGGCTGGCCTTGAACTCCTGACCTCAGGTGATCTGTCTCCCTTGATCTCCCAAAGTGCTGGGATTACAGGCATGAGCCACTGCACCCCACCTAAATTTTAATTCTTTAAAAAAAAAAAAAAGGAACCAAATTTGGCAAAATACAAAGATTTGGCAAAGTTGGAGGAAAGGTACAGCACACTCACTGTATTTTTATCTATTACTTCTTGAAATGGTTCATAATAGTACTTAAAAGATTGGTGCTCCAGTAACTTAGGGAAGAAGACTATTCTGATCTTGGGAAACTGAAAAGGGGAAGTGCTAGAGGGAGCCACAGGAGCCCAGGCACAGGTGTATGAGTGGATGAGGTCCCGGGTAAATGAGAAGGGACATACTCTCACTCCTGCCTGGGATACTGTGCTGACGGCTCACTCCTCTCTCAGATGTTGGTATGGTACTTTACCCATTTAACAGATGAGGACACAGGCTGAGAGAATGTCTTCTAGGAAGTGGCAGGGTGGGGACTCTAACCAGGCTGTAAGAGTCAGAGCCTGCGTTCTTTCTTGGTCAGTCCACAGCATGGATCCTCCTTGAGGAACGATAGTGGTGTCTGCAGAGGGTGGGAGGACAGCAAGACTTGAGGGTCTGGTGTGCTGGGTTCAGGTCTGTAGACTGTTCTGTGGGCAGTGAGGAGGCATAGGAAGGCTTCACGTAGGGAGGAGGGGAGTGAGCTCACTGCAGCTGTACCATCTGTTTCTTTTTTTTTCTTTTATTTCTTTCTTTATTTTTTTGTTAATCAATGAGAGCTTCTTATGTTGCTCAGGTTGGCCTTGAACTCATAACCTCACCTCCTCAAGAGCCAGGACAACTGGCCAGAGCCACCGCGGCTCCCTATTTCTTGCTTTCTTTCTTTTTTTTTTTTTTTTGAGATGAAGTCTCACTCTGCCACCTAGGCTGGAGTGCAATGGCAAGATCTCAGCTCACTGCAATGTCCACCTCCCAGGTTCAAGCGATTCTCCTGCTTCAACCTCCCAAGTAACTGGGATTATAGGCATGTGCCACCACGCCTGGCTAATTTTGTATTTTTAGTAGAGATGGGGTTTTTCTACGTTGGCCAGGCTGGTCTCAAACTCCTGACCTCAGGTGATCTGCCCATCTCAGCCTCACCCCCAAAGTGCTGGGGTTACAGGCATGAGCCACCGTGCCCTGCACCATGTTTCTTTTTTCTTTTTTTTTTTTTTGAGACGAAGTCTTGCTCTGTTGGCCAGCTGGAAAGCCACCGTGCTCAGCCACCATCTGTTTCTTAAACTTTGGTTTCTGTTGTTGTTTTTTAACCAAATGAACTTTTCTTGAAACAAATTCTAACTCAGAACCCAGGTATATAAAAGAGCTTACACTGGAGCTGATTTGGTGAAGCAGGTGATGGGGGCCCAGAGCACTCACCTCTGAGACCTCCTGGTTGGTGGAGAGACAGAGGTTCCAAGTACTCCTAGGCTGGGGAGGGGTGGGGAGAACCAAGGCCATGTGCTTTAGTCCAGAGAGGCCAGAAGTGGAGTGACCTCCATTCCCGGCTACCATACCTCATCTGAGTTATGGAACCATATACGGATGTCAGGAGAGGAGACAAGTTTTCAACTTGTCCCTCTTCCTTCTCCGTCTGGGGAGGGGAAAAAGGTAATTGGGCTCAGGCTGACAGCTGGATCAAAGCCTGATGCCCAGCAGAGGCCTGACATAACAGGCCTTCAATACATACTTATGGAATGAATGCATATTTTTTCCTGCTAAGTTTTGGGGAAGATACAGGAGGCCTGGCTTCTGGAGCAGGTGACACTGTTCCAGGGGCTGGCCCTTCTCAGTGAGGTTCCAGTGATCCACCGTTGTGGCTCAGTTGGTGTGAGGTGGTAGGAGAACACCGGGCTGAAAATCAGAGGCTTGGTTAGCTTCTGCCTGCAGTTGCCAGGAGCCTGCTGAGTGCTCTTGATGGGTGGTGCTCCTTCTCTGGGTTTTGGTCATCTCTTTTTGGCACAATGGACTGGATGAGGTTTTTCAAACTGCAGTTTGCAACCCATTTGGAACATTTAAAAAAAGCAATTCAGTGGGTTACAATCAGCATTAAAGCAACAACAGCAACACAACTCAAATAGAATAGAAAATATCAGCCGGTATCAAAGGTCATAAGAGTAAGCATTGTTTGGCGAAAATATTATTTTGCTTATATATAGATGAAGGTGTGTACTGGTCTGCTGTGAAACTTGTTACTGTTTGCCCTGGTGAAAAACAAAACAAAACTGTAAAACACGGGACTCGGCGATCCTGGAAGTGTCCTTCCCTCCCAGATTCCTGGGGGTCCTCGAAAGAAAAATAAAAAAGAGAACTGCCCCCCGACCCCGCCACTGCCTGGGGCTTTTCTCTTCCCAGGGTCCGCAGCTGTCTCTTTGCTCTTAGCTGTCTCCACCCCTCCCCTAGCCTCTCTTCTTCCTGCTTCAGTCACCGAGTCCCCTCCTCCCTTTCTTCCAGGGACAAACGCCCCCCCACAACTCAGGAAGTGGGGGTGGGGGTTCTGAAGGGAGCGAATGTGATCGGATGGGGGTGGCAATGGGCACCCTATCCTAGAAGTTCAAATAAAGGACTAGAAAGCAAACACCCAAGCACCGGGAAACAGAACAGAAAGTAAGCGAGCGGGGACGCGAATTGGAGGGCAGGACTTCGGGAGCCAGAGCCTGGAGGCGCCGCCGCACCGGGTCACTCCCAGAGGGCCGGCACCCAGACTTGGCATCCTTGGCGCTTGCGTGCGCTATCAACCAGCGAAGGTAACTTGGTAACTGTGCGACCCCCTTGTAGACCCCTGCCCGGTACCCGACCCCAAATAACAGGTCGAGAGTTGGAAGCCGAGTTCAGGTTTATTGGAACCAGCGGGCAGGCCAGGAAAGGAAGGAGATCGAGGCTGGCTGCGACTGCGCAGCTGGGGTAGGAGGGTTTTATATAGGGGGGTGGACGGGGCGTGGACACAGGGCTGGCGGAGTGTCGTAGGAGCTTAGGATAGGCTGTCCGTCTCTGGGCAGACTGCTGAGGTGGCTCAGAGGGTTATGTGTCGGTTCAGGATAGGCCGAGGCTTGGCGGACTTTTCTCAGGGCAGCAGGAAGCCTGGGGGGAGGGTGGGGGCAAGAAACCTGGGGGAAAGATGGCGGGACTTTCTACCAAACAGTAACTTTCTTTCTTTCTTTCTTTTTTTTTTTTTTTGAAAGGAAAGACGGAAGGAGCCAAGAGTTTTGGAGCCAACTCCTGGAGAGGGAGCGGCTGAACTGATTCGGAAGTTGGATCTCTTTGTACACAGGAATGCAGAGGAAAAAAAAAAAAAACAAAACCCACCCCATTGCTTCATTTCCCCTCCAAGCCCGAGCACTTTCTATTGTGCAATTAAAAGGCTTTTTTCACGTTGGGAAAAGTGAATCCCGAATTTGCGCTGCAAGCGAGGGCACTCCAGGGCGCATCCTCCGCGCGCCGCTCCGGGGTAGCGCCAGCGGGAGCGTTGGACTCCGGGAGCCCCGAGGGCGGAGAGCTCCCCACTACGCCTGGGCCTCCCAGGTACGGCAGTTCCGCGAGCCCGCTGGACCCAGAGCTCCCCAGTGCGGTGCAGGATGCCTTTGGGGACCAGGAGGGCTGGCAGCGCATTTGGTGTCCGGGAGGTCGGGACCCGGACCAGCGAGGAGCGCGGGGCGCCGGGAGGCAGGCCGGTGCACATGGGTGCCGGCGGGCGGGCCGTTGGCTGAGGGGGGTGGGGGGGCGGGATTTGCCTGTATCTGGCGGCCCCAGACTTCCTGCTCCTTCTACGCTGCAGGTACGCGCGGGCCGGGCCTGGCGGGCTGGCGGCGGGCGCGCCCAGACGTGGGTACCTCCTCACCCGGACCTCGGGCCGCGCCGCGCCGCGCCGCCTCCTGGCTCCCGTGGCCACTAGCCCGCCCCGGCCTCCCCAAGCGTCGGGCTCCGAGGTGGGGGCGCGCCCCTCCCCGTCCCCCGGACGCCTCAGTCCTCTGCACTGAGCTTGGCCACGCTCCCTTGGGCGCCCCCCACGCCCCGGGCTCCGGAGGGCCGCAGCCATGAGTGAAATGTTCAGCTTTCTCCACATCGGGGACATCGTCTCCCTGTACGCCGAGGGCTCTGTCAATGGCTTCATCAGCACTTTGGGGTAAGTCTAGCTCGAGAGGGGCGCGGGCAAAGAGGGGGCGCCGTGGGCCTTGGTGCCAGCTGCGTGCGTCTTGCCGCCGCCCTCCGACAGAGGGCCTGGAAGTCCCCCCAGCCTCAAGGAGCGGGGAACGCCTCGTCTCCTTCTTTTAGAGAAAGGAAGTGAAGTGTTTGCTCAGGTAGGACTCGGGCTCCCTACTGGAGTTGGCAGGAGGAGCCCCCATCGGCGCAGCCTCTACCCTCCTGCACAAGCCTTTGGAGGGGGCGGAGGGGCCGAGACTTCCTTTGCAGGTGGTCCCTGGGGCAGGTGGGTGGCTGGAGGCTGAGTTGGAGAAGGGCAGCCGGGCCTGGATGTGACCAGCTCTGAGGCCAGGGCGGAGCTGTGGGAGGTGGGCAGGCTCTGCTTGGAGCCCGGAATCCTCCGTGGTGCCTTTGAGGGGTCTCACCTTCTCCTCACAGCTCTCTCCCTGTTCTTTCCAGCTTCAGTAGGAGTGTCTTAGCCCTCCCCTTCCAGGCTTTCAGGTCCTAGCCAGCTGCCCCTTCTCCCCGTCTCTCCCCTTCAATTTCCTGCACTCGTCATCTGGCGCCCTTGGGTCCCTGGTTCTAGCTTCTCTCCAGCACTTCACAAACATTAATTAATTCTGGCCACCACCTCCCAGGGTCTGGGCTGGATAAACAGGGAATCAATTCATGTCTCTGGAGAGGGCCAGGCCTATAGCAGGGATGGGGCAGGAGAGAAATTAGGCAGAGAGGATGGGTTTATCTTCAGGCGAGTAGCTGGGTGATTGGGAGTGTAGTGTGGTTTCTCCAGCCAAGGCCCAGAGCAGGGCCTGCTACCTTTGTCCTGTTTTCAGTCTGGGAGCCTAGGTTAAATTGTCTCATCCTCCCAGCCACACATAGCTTCCCACTAGGGGACACCCCGTCTTCTCCTGACCCACTCAGTGGGACCAGCCAGCCTGGTGGTGCCTCTGGGGGACTTGGAGGACAACCTGGCACCCTCAGCTCAGGACTGGCTCTGGACAGGGCCCAACTCACCCCAAGCCTAGGAGGTGCGGGGTCACCGGTCTCCCCCAGCATTGCTGGGAGTTTAGCTTTGGTCTTGCTGGATTGTGGGATTGGAGGGCTGACTCTGCCAGCAGGGAGTTCTCACCCAGCATTCCAGCATGCCTGGTCCCCTTCTCGCAGAACCATCCACGTCCCTCCTGGTGGCCTCTCCTTCACACGTGGAATCCCTGGCTACTTGTCCCCCCTTCCTCTAGATCTGACTTGTTCCTAGCTCCCTAAAGGATGGGGTTGGAGCAACATCTGGGCCAGCATCTGTGCAGGCCTCCTCCAGAGAGCAGTGACTAGTCTCTGGCTGCCCTGAGGCCAGGGCCTGCATATAGTAGGTACTGAGTAAACACCTCTGATAAAGCTGAGGGAAGGAGTAGAGGGTGTGGGGGTTGGGGGGATGTAGGGAACTATTGGGGAAGTCCCCTCCTAGTGAAGAGCACCAAGGACTTATGGGAAATGACCACCTCTGTTGCTTAGTGCCTGGCCCGGGGCTGAACACACTGTGGTTTTTAAGCACCTGTAGGGTTTTTTTTTTAGACAGGGTCTCACTTTGTCATCCAGGCTAGAGTGCAGTGATGCCATCTTGGTTTACTGCAGCCTCGACCTCCAGGGTTCAAGCAATCCTGCCTAAGTGCCCCCAGAACTAGCTGGGACTACAGACAAACCTGGCTAATTTTTGCATTCTTTTGTAGAGACAGGGTTTCACCATGTTACCCAGGCTGGTTTCCAAGTCCTGAGCTCAAGCAATCTGCCTGCCTCAGTCTTCCAAAGTGCTGGGATTACAGGCGTGAAACACCGTGCCCTGCCTAGCACCTGTGAGATTTAACAACATCAGGGAAAACATCTTACTGCTGCTTCCCCTGCTCTCAGGCAGGCCTCACTCCCTCCCAAGGATTCCCTCTGTTGCCTCTGTAACTTCCTTCCACCTCGGCCCTTCCCGCCCCAGGAACTGCTTCCTCCACCCACCGTGATCTTGGGGCAGGACCTGGCGACCTCTAGACCTCTAGAGCGCTCTTCGATGACAGGGTGAGCCCTCCCTCTGCAAACACCTCCAACATCTCCTGATTTTCCACCCGCAGGCGCCCACCCTCCTGGCATGGCTTTCTAGCATCAGCCTGTGCAGGTCTGCACCGTAATTTTCTTTTTCTTTTTCTTTTTTTTTTGAGACAGGAGTCTCGCTTTATCACCAGGCTGGAGTGCAGTGGAGCGTTCTTGGCTCACTGTAACCTCTGCCTCCTGGGTTCAAGCGATTCTCCTGCTTCATCCTCCTGAGTAGCTAGGACTACAGGCATGCACCACCAGACCCAGGTAACTTTTGTATTTTTAGTAGAGACGGGGTTTCACGATGTTGGCCAGGATGGCCTAGATCTCTTGATCTTGTGATCTGCCCACCTCGGCCTCCCAAAGTGCTGGGATTACAGGCGTGAGCCACAGCGCCCTGCCTACTGCATCATAATTTTCTGGGGCTTTTTCACCTGGAGCTCCGGGTGCACCGCATGACTGCAACCTGTCCCGTGCTCTCAGTCTCTTTACCTTTGCTCTTGCGTCGTTCCTGCCCTTTAGCCAGTCTCCACCTGGGTAAATATGTCCCACCCTTTAAGGCCTAATGCATCGTGGCCTATTTTGAGAGATCCAGCTTCCCCTACCTGCAGGGCAGAATTAACCCTTCGTCCTCTGTGCTTTTGAACTATTTTGGACAAACCACTCTCTGGTGTCCCTCACATTGGAGGCTTCCCTGTAGACCCATCTAATGCTGGGCATCTTGCCAGGATTAACACCATTCATACATTTAGCAGGTCCACAGGCACTGTAATGGGTGCTGGGGACTTGGTGGTGGTTCAAGGAGCTGTGCTTCCTGTTTCCTTGGACTTAGGAGTCAAAGAAGGAGTGATTTGTAAGTGCTGTAAATAATCAGTCCAGCAACTTCAGCGACACCAGGAAGCTTGTCAGAAATGCAGAATGTCAGACCCCCATGCCCAGTCCTACTGAATGAAAATCTGCATTTTATTAAGATCCCCAGGGGACTGGTGCCTCCTTTCTCAACTCTCGTCCCCTCTGCCTTTCCCAAGGCTGTTGGTGCCCATGTCTGTGAACCCTGAGGCTGATTTGACTGAATTCCTGGGCTAACCCAGTGCCCAGTGTGTGGGTCCCAGGAGGTACCCAGTAAGGGCTGGATGAAATGCATTTGTTGAAGACAGGGGTGGCCTTGGTGGGCAGATGGGCCAGGTCACCTGGGAGATGGGAAGGGGGCATTGGTTGGGGAGGGAGGCAGG